TCCAGTCTGACGTCTATGGCAGGGGCGTGTGGACCAGAGGTTGAATTTCCAGAGGGGTTCGCACCTACATTTGAAGTTTTTCAGGGGTCCGCAAATGAAGAAAGGTTGAAAACTACTGGTCTAGATAATTACTACACTACAAATGTGCAACAGCATCTACTCCACAGGGCCACAAGCTGCCACCTCTTGCAAAATACCTGCCTTAGCTCTTCATGCTGTACATTGGCACCTGCTGACCTCTTTAATTTCGCTGCACCCCAACTCCAACATGCTCATTCTCAAGAACCAAGAAAGCAGATAACGGCTACATCTTTGGTAGACAGCAGTGTAATCACAAAGAAGTGCAGCTAGGGCAGTGGTGGATAAAAGACTCATGGTAGAGGACGAGGTCAATTCTCATGCCTTCTGAAAGTATACTCAGGACTTAAAACACCTGGCAGAAGCACTGTTGCATCCACCATGCCGCTGAGATTGTAGTCCCAAAAAGGGGGTTTAAATTTTATACTAGTAGTTCCTTATTTCAGGAACACTATTTGCAAGTCATTCATTAGTTATTCTGGTACTGCACACCCCCCCAAAGCAAGGCGGGAATGTGTGTTTGGGTAATTGACAGTCTTTCTGCCCAGCCTCTGCTGCATCTCCTTTCAAGCGCCGTACACAGGCCTGATAGGTGCTAAACACCCACAGCATCCATTCACTCCACCTCCAACCCCAGAATTAGGGCCTATGTGAATCCAGGTGGACCATTACTGGCTCCATTCTCTGTGGTGTTTTTTTATTTAAATATACAAGGAATAAATGTATTTACAGTACTTATTTTCTCCTCAAAGCTTAACTAAGATTGTAATTCATGAGATGTAACAATCAGCAGAACCCTTTGCTCTCAGCACCACGTAACTTGGTATTGGAATGCTTTGCTGGTTCTCCCCCTCCCCCCAAATGAAGAGACTTGAAAGGGAAATGGCAAGTCACTTTACAACAAAAATGCCGATGTTATAAATAAAAGCTTTACAGACAGGAATCTTCAGGGCTTAAACATTTCAAAGGAAACAGAAATAACATTTCCCCTGAAATGTTTGCCACCCATCTGCTCTACAGCATCCTCCTAATTTGAGAGAACCAGGAACTGAAAATGAGTCTAAAGAGAAGTATATGAGACTATTTTCACCGTCCAGCCTGAGGGAAATCGCACCCCGCCCCAACATAAAATAAAAAGCGACGTAAAATATTTAAAATCATTTCAATGTTAATATGCTAGAGTATTAGTAACAGTAGAGGAACACTGCCTAAATTACTAACATGTACCCTTCAAAGAAAAAAAAAAATGGACAGATTATTTGGGTCTTTCTCTCAGGTTATGGCTGGCTGTTGAATTAGAGTTCATAGTATCAAAACTTTGAATAGCTGAGATTTCAGCAAATTCAGTTTTATGGAAAAGGAAAACCTGCATGCTGAACATCTGTGAAGTTGCAAAAAAGATTTAGATTGAGTTGCAACCACCCCAATGCAAATTTATAAACAAGTGTTCTTGGATTTAATTTTCAGTAGCGCTAAGAGATAGACTGGACATATTATGGCCAATTTCACGCAGAACTCCAGCTCAAATGGGAGTTTTGCTCCATCAAGGACCAACAGACTTCTTCCCTATAAAACCAACCCTGCAAGCTGATACTCATCTACCACGGAGCATACCATGGTGATCAGCTAGTCTGACCTCCTGTATAGCACGGGCCCTAAGACTTCCCTGAATTAATGCCTGTTTGAACAAGACCCTACAAATATAAAACATTCTGTTCTGAGTCACCCCACTGCAAATCCAGAGCAACGGCATTGATTTCAGTGGAGGTATTCTGGATGGAGTGGTTGTATCACGCAATAGTCATTTAGATTCCTATATGTTAGGGCTGCATAAAAAACAAACTAACAAGATAGTGTCAGCTTCAGCTGCATGAAAAATAATTTCACCTTGTCGCCCGCTAATGTAATAGCGCTCTTCACAGTTTTCTGTAACAAGTGGAAAAAATCATTTTTTCCTTCTAGTGCTGAACCTGCACTTTCACTTCTCTTCTAATGGAAGAAAATAGTTTCAACCCAGACTGAGGATGACTGTTCTTGGATTTAATTTAACCCCTGGGCACTGAGGTAAAAAGATGAAAATAGCTTCTTACTGTGCAATGCTAGAACATCCAAGCACTGGACACTAAAGCAATTTCAAAACTACACTTGGCTGAGAATTGTTTACATTCCTTTTTCTCTGTTCTGAACCTAGGGGACAGTCTGCTTTTTTCTGCGCTGCACTACAAACAGGGATCGTTCTCTCGGGGCACATTATGGAGGTGCTCTCTAGCTTTGCAGACCTGCACATATTCAGTGCAGTAAGTTGACATATTTGCTACATTCAGAGCTCAAATGTCCATCCGTGACAAAACAACAGTGTTTTACAAGCAAAACATTACCAAGGACACCGCGCTTGTGTCTGGATGATCAATGCTCTCCACTTTCATGTTAAAGGGCAATGTGCTCCTACTTGCTAGAGGACATCAGCAAAACACGTCAGCTATTCCTCCAATTTACATGTAAACTCATCCTGGAAAGTGTGTACTTCCACACTAAGCTAGTTTAAAACACCTGCATTTCAATCACTCACACAATAACTGTTATGATCTTTATTCAGAGGATCAACTACATGTTAAAAGTACTTTTTGTAATTAATTGACAGTCTATGAAATTAAGCCTGGTCGGTCTTTCTAAAGTAACTGAGTCCCAGCAAAATATACCACAGGACTAACTATGGCTCTTGCTGCAATTAAAACAGAGGCAGAAATGCCCCTTTAGCTGGATGGCCAGAGGTGCTACCAAGGAGAAGCAGCACCAGGATAACTTTCTCCCAGGTGAGCACTGGGATGGGCCAACTCTGTGTTTTGGAGTCATCGTAATTTACCCTGAAGTGGCTCCCTGGTTTCTGGTCCTCCACTGTTTCTGTTTCAGTACACACTTGGCTTTGCTTTTTACTTTCTTCTGACTGAAGATGTTTGGATTGAATGAATTCTGCCCCCTTCTACTAGGCTGTGGCACTTAGCAACTAGCGGTTGCTACTTGCTCAGACAACATTCGAAGGGATACCCAAACTTGGCTCCAGTTCCTCCTATTGCTCCTTTTACAGAGCTGTTCCCTAGTCCTCTCTTCTCTTTCCCCCACTTACTCTCTGACCTCATCAATTCTCACAGTACTTATTCTGATGCCTCAGACTTGCCATTTAGCCCCAGAGTTCCACCTTGTCCCAAACGTAAGAGAAATCTAGTGGCCTGTGACTGTGTTATATGTTCATGTCACTCTACCTCCTTCACTCAGCGATTTCTTCCTGCCTATTTTGTATTTTTCAGTACTGACATACAGTAGGTGCATCAGTCAGCTAACCTAAAGCATCACTGCCTGGCCTTGCTGTATTGAAAGCACCTCTGTCTAGTCTTGGCTGGCTTATGTTTAGCAAAGTGCTCTGAAAAACACACTCCTTTTAGTCTCACATCAATTCTAGTCCCTCAGGCAGCTGCAACTCCAAGCACCTTGCAGACCCATCAGTGTTTCCTGATTAAAGGTGAAAAAATGTTTTTTAAATAAAAAGCTTCAGATTCTAAATCATTAACAATGTACACAGGCTGACTAGAATAGTCACATTTTCTTACATGGATGTCATTTTCTCTTGTGCTTCCATACTAGGATCTATCGTAGGGCTTGTGTTTCTCCCACAAGACTTGTGAAAATACTGTTTTACATATTCAAACATTAATTAGTCCCCACAACACCCCAGTGAGGTAGATCGGAGTTATCCCCATTTTCCAGATGGGAAAATAGGTATAGAGAACATCACAACAGGCTAAGGAATGCAGCTCTGGGATCAGCTGCTCTTGCAAGAGAAAAAAGCACTCTGAGTGGAGGTCCTAGCAAGTGGCAAATATTTGTTTAAAAGTAATTTAAACGACACCTGTATTTTGTTAATAATATGGGATCAAACCATCTGCTCCGTTTGTCTAAAGTATGGCTGGTCAGCTCCAAGGTGCTATGCTGACTAAATCCAAATTATGGTCAATTTATGGTCAATATTCTTTGCAGAAACTACTTTCTCGCTACGAGAGAGGAAGCAAAGGGGTTAAAAGAGAGGGAAGAAATGAGGCCATTTCCAAATCAATGAGCAGGGAGAAAATTACTTGCAAACAAGGCTTATACATTTGAACACTAGAACAGAACAGCAAATAAGCTGGAAAAGCAGTTGCCATCAGGATTCTCAAGGTTTGCAATGGCAAGCAGGTTATTTAATTTTTGCCACCCTGTGGTCTAGTTTCAGTACACTTCGTTGAGAGCATTGCAGCCAGTTTTTACTACTTAGCTTGTACCAACACTGGACTGGGGACAGACACTAGCAAAGACTACAGCACCTTGAAGAAGAGTTTTGCCAAGAACACAAATGCTGAAAAATAAGGGGTGGGAAAACCAGAACTCAAGGAGAAGCTTCAAAATCCCCCCTGCAGTGACCCTATTTTAAAAGAGCACTGCATCTTTTGGTGTATATAACTCATGCAGGTACAGAAATAAAATACATGGGAACTGTGGACATTCACTGCATTAACATTTCTTCAAAGACACAAAAGGTTGTCGGATTGCCCAAAGCTAACAAATAACAAAAAGATTGAGTTCCTGTTCCACTCACTCTTTTTGCTGCAAATATGGAGTTCTGTTTTCTGACTTCCAGCAGACTGTTCAGTGGCCTGCATTAGTGAGCACAGATTCAAGGTCCCATGGGAAACAAATATTAGACAAATGAACCTGATCACAGGAAACAGAGAACAGTTCTCATCTGCCTTTGAAGAAATTGCATTTAAGACATTCCTCTGCCATAATTACGAACAAGTGCAGATCCCAGAGGCACCTACATCAAATGAATAAAAGAAAGAACGATAGGGCTGACACGCACCAGTGGAGTTATTGGGAGTTATTGGGGGGAGGGGAGGATGAAGATAAAAGAATCAACTAACTGATTTAGCTCCCAGAGAACATGGGTGCATGCTGGCAGTGATCAGTAGGTAAACTTATCAATAAAAACAAGGAGGCTAGAATTCCTATCTGTGCACCTTTAACTCCACTGGAAGGCGCGAGATCGAGGGCCAGCATACAGTACAAGCAGCAGGAGGAACAATGTAGAAAATTACAGCACCCATTAATTGTAGCATAGTTCAACAATCTTGTTACTAAGACACTAATCAGCTAACTGAGCATGCTTAAAATCAACAATGCCAATGCTTTTAAGGACACTTTATAAGCACAAAAATAGTAGAAATAAAACTTTTGTGAACAGTTTGAAAGATACAAAAAAGTGCCTTTCCACAGCAGTGCTTTAAAAATGCACACAATGGTATATTCTTATTGCTCAAATAAACTACTCTAAAATATTACAATGATTTCCTGGAGGTGCTGAAGCAGATTCAAAATCATATGCAACAGGTCAGCAGAGACAGCACCACTCATTTTCTCTTTTCACAATGCACTTATATAGAACTATACAAGTACAGATGTTTTGTGACAGCTTCTTTCCTAATCAAACACTCATTTCCTCACGTGGATTATTATTATACTTTTAAAAAGGGGGAACGCTGTAACGATGCTTCTCACATTGACAAGCCCAAATGGCAAATATTCTCTCTTATCAAATATTAGTTTCTACTTTATCGACGCACGTGATCTATTGTAGCATTGCTTGTGATTTCTGGGCTGCTTTCTTGGTTTCTTGTTTTAGAAAAAAATAAGAGCATTTAGAATGTATTTTTGAAGGAAAAAAATGGTAAAAATCTGACCACCCCAATCTTGATAGTGTCCCTTTAGTGATCAGGGAAATTCACACAAACGAGCATGTTAAGGTACAGCGCTACTATTGGAGTTATTTTACAACGTACACTGTACTGCACATGCACGAGATGCAAGATCGCTTATACTAACTATACTACCATATCACAATGTCCGATACCCAGGTAAGACTGCACAATCAAAAACTAGCAGATTACAAGAAAAAGGATTCTATTATTATGATCTTATGGTTGTAATCAGCAATAAATAAATAACAAATCAAATAAAGTATTCTATTTGCACCTATTAAGGCCCCTGATGATCTAACTGGATTCCTAACAGATTTTATCAGCTCCCAAATTATATATTTTTTCAGTCATCTTCCATGACTGCCAGAGTGCAATTTGTTAATTAATAGGCTTATGCATTTGTTGCCATCTCAAAAGGTCAAAGAAAACAGGTTCCCAGCTATTTGTGGACCGAAATTACCACACCCATCCCTCCCTCCCCAAATGAAAGCTTCAGGCTCACAGCTGGCAAATTACACACAATGCTTCCTCAAGGGTTCTCAGCCATTTTTTGTAAAGATAATTCATCTCTTCAGGCACAGAGAAGGTGAGCATCTATATATGGTGTGTGCATGTGGCAGAGAGTATTACTGAATACAGAAACATACCTGTATTTTCAATAAGATGTTCACATGTACTGATGATGTACCACATGACAGATCGTTAAGCCTCCCAATGTGTCAAAGTAAGGAATTGTGGCTACCAGGCTTCTTACCACATTAGAATGTGTATTGGATTGGAATAATATATATGTATCCCACTTACTGTGCGGACAAGGAACTTGGAGCTGTGAGTGGTTTTCACCTATTTGGAGGGGGAGGCTCTTTATAGTATAAATATATTTCACTCCAGCCCATTATATATAACTTTCTTTTTTTGTTGTTGTTGTTGCTCAAAATGTATTTATTTTCAGTAGTATTACGACCAGAATGTTTTGGTATGTTGTGTCTGTATTTTCAATCAATTGAAAATGTACAGATACTGACAGAATGCTTCAGTTCTGTACCATTTACCCGTCACAAACTGCCAAAAGATGCTTTTTTGATTTAAAGTGCCCCCTACATCTTCATCTTCATGTAAAGGTTTGACTGGTTAGAGTCCAATTCCAAGTAATATATACGTCAGTGGACTGAAATAATAAATACAGAGCTACAAAAACATTCTGGTTATCTTCTATAACTGCGATGTAATATATCACAATCTATTGTATAACTACATTTATAATACATGCACAAACGTATCTCACATGGACAGACACTACAAAAAATTTCTTTTTTTTCTTAAATGCAGAAAAAAGTAAGAAAGGTTTTTGGTCCAATCCATATGAAGGATAAAAGAAATTGCAAGGGAGAGGACAATGCCCCTCCACACCCTTGAAATAGTCAAACCCAAACCCTCAAACTTTTTGGACTAGTTCTGAAGGGGAATGCATACAGTTACCCTTAGTGACAGTGGGAGACCACGTTTTCCTCATGTTATCGCACAAGTCACATGTTCTCTCTCCACACAAAGTACAGATTTGCTGATTGTAGAATTGACTGAAAGTCACGCAAAATAGAGTTCACCTAGTGATTACCAGTCCCTAGACAGCTTGGTGTTCTGATCCCTTTTGGGGGGAGCAGGCGGTGGCCCCCTCCGCAACGTTGCATAGCCTGATATATGACTGCCTCCATAGCTGCCAGTCTTTTGCTGGTCCGCAAGCAGTTCCGGTGGGGGTGGAGGCAAGGCCATATCATCCATCGTGGCAGTTGGCTCTGTTCTGGACACACGGGAAGAAGAGAGAGAGCCATGCCGAGTGATGGACTTCCGCTGCAGAGTCCTGTTTAGGTCTGCCAGGAAGCCAGGCTGAACACTAAGGCTGGACTTGGGCGAGGTGGGCACTTGTGGACTGACCGGCCCCTGTGATTCCATGATTTCTGCCTGCGTAAGCCGGGTGCTGTCATTCCGCTTGGGACGTGTGGGCGGAGGGGCTTTTTTCACTGATGATTTAGACCAGGGCTGAGGCTGGGGATTAACAACAGCAACTTTTGGAGAGGTGCTACCTGAAAACACGGATGGGATCTCTACTGGTGGTAAAGGCAGATCTATTTCTGGTGGAGGTGGTGGAAAGTCTGAATCGGATGGAGGAGAAGGAAATTCTACCATGGGATCCTTCCCAGACACTCCTACTGCAGGTACCTTTGCTGAAATACCTCCTTGCTGAAGAACTATAGGCAGATTCACCCCAGAAAGATTTAGCTTTCCTGGCTTTGGAGGAGCTGCAGGAGGAGGTGGAGGCTCCTTGGAAGGAGATCCTGAAGGCTCTGGTGGATGTGCAAATTTGCTGACAAGGCTGTCCACCGAAGGTCTCTTAGATTCATGATACTCAGCAGAGCTGCTGGATTTGATGCTAGAGTTTCGTTGAGGTGTTGGAGGTGGTTTCTTCCCTCCAGGACTTGAGGTCTTGCTGGCCTTTTTGACTGGAGATCCCGCCTTGTCCAGGGTAGGAGAAGCTGCAGAGGGAGCTGGGGAAGGTGGCGGAGGAAACACTAAGCTGCTCTCAGGTGGAGGAGGAGGAAAATCAGGAGATGGAGCAGAGGTGGGCTGCCACTTGGGCTTTGCTTTCACTGCTGGGGGAGACTGTGGCGCCCCACTTACTGGGACAGGCTTTAAAGGCTGAGGCTCTGTGGCTGGAGGGGTCGGAGGAGGTGGAAACTGACTGGCTATCTGCTTCACAACAGATGGCACAGGAGACTGAGGGGATGGGGGAGGTTTAACAGAGAAACTCTGCTGTTTTGGTAAGGTGGGTGGGGGAGTAGGCCCTGGAGGAACAGGTGCTGGTGGAGGAACTTGGGAAGCTGTGAAATTTGGCTGCTTTTTTATTGCAGGAGGAGGGGGAACGGGCCCGGGTGGTGGGATGTGGGTCACGATGGGCGATGCTGCCTTTGCACTTGCCTGCGTGGGGACAGGTAGAAGGGGTTTAGGAGGGGCTGGGGGGGGAGGTGCTGCAGGCACAGGGGGAGGGAGAGGGGGTGGTGATAACACAGCCACTGGAGTAACGTTCTGTGGAACCTGATGGATTTTGAGAGGGGGTGGTGGTGGGGTGAATGGTGGCACTGACGGGGTGCAGGGGGCTGGTTTCAGCTGTGCCATAGCTGATCCGGGGGTAGGTGGAGGAGGAGGTGGGGGAGGAGGGGGAGCCACCAGCATGGGCAGCTTTCCCAGCGCTGGGGGTGGTGGCATTTGCTGGGTGATGGGGGGAGGTTTAAAGAGAGGCCCAGCATGCTGGGAGGCATTCTGCAGCCTCGTGATCGTGCTGTACTTGACAAACAGGGGGGCTGCTGAGCCGGTCGAAGGCGTAGACTGGCTGGGAAGAGGTGGTGGTGGTGGCGGAGGAGGGGGTGGAGGAGGTGGGGGTGGTGGCGGTGGGGGTGGTGGAAGGGGAGGCGATGGCTGAGAAGCTGTGTATGGCGTAGCCACTTTAATTTGTGGGGACATGGCAGGTGCAAGTGAAGTGAAGGGTCGGCTCACAGACTCCATTTTGGCCTAAAAGACAGGGAGTTAAAACAAAAAAACAAAAAACAAAAAAAGAGAGAGAGAGAGAGAGAGAGATTAGGAGAGGGTATAAAGGCAAGTTCTAAATGTCTGTCATTGAAAAAGTAAGATGCAGACTACAGCATGCAGGAAACGTAAGCACAATGATGCAGCACAAGGAAATTCTGAACACGGACAAGATGGAGGAACTAGAGTGCGCTCATGGAGGGGGTGGGGTGGAGATGGGGTCTCACAAGGACAGAGTCCTAGGTTTACTCAACTATATGCCTGAACAATAGGAGGAGATGGATTGGAGCTGAAGTTTTCTGATCAGATAGCAGTTCAAGGAGGCGGCAGGTGCATTGTGTTTGGGTGTTGAGCACATACAGAAGTGAGGCACGAACCCGCGAAGATTCCTGGGGGCAGACCTGTGTGCCCATGCAGAATCCCAGTAATGTTCATGGGATTCCAGATGGGTAAGGGATGTACCCAGGGAGATTCCCTTGCAGAGAGCCCTTAGAGAGGAAGCCATGCAGAGTAAGAGACACGGCAGATGGCGTTCAGGTCCGTAAGACTGAATTTGGACCAGGCTGATGCTAGGCTTTCAAGAGCACCTGTCTTTCCACGATCTCGACCTGCATCAGGAAATGCCATTATTTTATGCTAGCTATGGTGAAGGCATTATGCTGCTAATGTTTTGATACATGGAAGCCTGAAAATATTCTGAGAAGTGTGCAGGACACTATAGGAACAAGCTCCACACGCTGGTACATCGAGACATTTTCATCCAACATGCACTGAAGTTCAACAATGCAGAGAGAAAAGGGGCATTTTATGGAAAAATCCTCAAACATTCTGTATAAAATAATAAAAAATTTGATACACAAAAACTGTATTGGTAAAGAAGAGCTAGACATGCAACTGAATGTAACAGAGAGAGAGAGAGAGAGAGAGAGAGAGCAGGGATCAAAAGAAATGGGTTGAGAGAGGAAGGAATACTGCATTCTACAGTCCAGCCAATTCATTTGGTTGTATTCAGTAGCATTAGGGTTAAAGTTTTTTAAATTGTAAATCTAAATTTCTGTTAGAGATTAGAGAACATAATTATATTTACTCCTAAGGTTTGTTAACACCACATCCTCCTTATAACATGGTCCCCCTTTGAGCCAAGCGGTGAGTTTCATGATGATTGTAATAGAAAGCCTACTTAGTAACTGATGCCAAAAACAGCTTACTAGAATGGACAGCCACAGTTACTAAACATTTTATTAAGACACATTTTGTCAGTGCCACTATATATTATGTATCAAAGGGGTAGCCGTGTTAGTCTGGATCTGTAAAAGCAGCAGTGTGTCCTGTGGCACCTTATAAACTAACAGACGTATAGGAGCATGAGCTTTCGTGGGTGAATACCCACTTCTTCGGATGCATCCGAAGGCTCATGCTCCTATACGTCTGTTAGTCTATAAGTCTTCGCTGCTTTTACTATATGTTATATATGACTAGCTAACTTATATGAAAGGATTTGCATATCAGTTTGTTATAAGGGTCAATACATGGATAGTACTATATCAACTCTTCATTTGACTGGGAGAAAACTGAAATATTAACTTATAATGAAATAGATAAGACAAATAGAATAACTTATAATGAACGTGGCGTGTACCTCTATTTGTCAAATTAAGCTAGTAAGGCAAGGAATTGGACAAAACCCTGGAGCAATTCAGCAGGTTCAAAAGAAAGATTAAGATTTCTTAAAAGGGTTAGTCTGCAAGATTCTGGTAATGTCACTCAGGTTAATGTGCTTTCAAATCAGCCCCTGACCTTAATTCTGCCCTGTATAAGGCATGCCGGGCACGCAGACCTTAGCTGTGTTGGGCTTCACGTTTGACACCTGAGACAGTAAGGCAACAGGAGAAACACAAGGAGCATCAAACACAAAGAGGGTGACAGAAGCGTAACAAGCACGCATCAGGGCATGGCAGAGTTTGCAAAGATTGGGAATTAAAGACTACATGCGAGGGTGTTCTGTGACCCACTTTGTCTTGTCGTTTAAAAACCACATTCTGAACTCTCACTTTGGCTCTTCTTTTGTATTGCCATCCTGGCTATATTTAAAATTGGAGAGCTATTCGTAAACTAAGTAAATAAAAAGATCAACCTAAAAAACACTGTATTTGGTGTCCTTTACTGTACTGACCTGAACTGGTTAATAAAATATTATTTGGCAGATATACAAGTCTAATTATTCAGAAATACAGAATCATTCATTTGCTCCAACTGTATTGTCAAAGAGCAATCTTTTTATAAGCAATTAGATTACCATATGGTTTTTGAACATGCTTTTAAAACTAAGATACAATTAAGCATGAAGAATTTTGCCTGGCATCTAGGAGGGCGATTTTTACACAAAGCAATAAACACATGGAATATTGAGGAAAGGACAAAGAACAATGTCTCTGAACTTTAAAAAAAATGCACAATGATTTGTAACAAATTATGAAAGTGTGTTCAGTGAAATTTGGTTTATAAAGGCCTAGAAGATAATTAATTCTGTGTTTCGTTTTTTTTCTTCTTCTCTGAGGCAGTTAAAACTAGCTTATATTTGCAGTTGTTAATTCACAATGGTGAGGTGTATCTTTAGGAATATTTAGAAAATACACCAATGCTATTTATAAGGAGAGAGTAGCTACTACAGTTTGTATATGCAATAGCTACAGTATTGTTAAAGCATTTTTTGGTATGCAGAATTACTCTATATGCATGGATTTGGGATCACACAGTACACTGACAAAATACACAAGAACAGCTCCCCTTGCTCCATACAGTGTGTTAATGCCTTTATTAGTGTTTCCTTTTCTGGGGCCCCTCCCAAGAGCTTTTTTGACCTAAAGGATTCTCACTATTCCCTGTCCCTTTACTATTCACAGTCTCAAACTTGCATTATGAGTCTCCTTCTGCTCAATGGCCAGACTCCCTCTGAGGCTCCTCAGTGTTTTGTCTGACTGAAAGATAACCAAGCAATGAAAGGCCTTCTCCCAGCAGAGGACTGATGACCTAGGAATGAGAGACCAAGCACAAGTCCCATAATGATCCGACTCTGGGCTACAACTCGACTGTCAAGCCAAGCCTCCATTCTGAAACTTTTCATCTTGCTTGGCTTCCTTTAAAAGCTGCAAACGTATTGTGTGGACACTATGAGAAACACTCTGGCACTGCTGGAGTCCAGCCAGTCAATGATCTGCTTTTACCAGGAATGTTTCAATGTCATTCTAACTGCCTCATCACAACATCAACATTTCAGTGACAATATTCTTCCTCCCCCCTCCCTCCCCCCAATATATCTCCTTAATTCTTGGAGCTCTGGTATTACTGAGGTCAGAGACCCAGGCAGGACCAAAATTAGGTACTATAGGCAGTAGTGATTGTTGCATTTAAGGTTATAACTCAATCCTTCCGTTGTAACCCCTTACACTTAACTGTTTCAAAAATGTACTTTTGAGATAAAACATCACATACTTTGCATAAGTGCAAAGGTCAACTCTGGAAATTTGTAGGGCAATCCATTCACCTGTGTTGGGCAAGTGTGGGAGAAATACAATTTTTCTTGTTTGAAAAAAAGTTGTTCCACTTTTTGTTGCAGACAAGTAGCTTCAATTGCTGAATTATAAAACTTCAGTCTTTGTACATGGATAGCCCTCAATAAGGAACAGTCTAAAAAAATGTGTTTTAAAAATTGCTTTAATCAGATATAGTATAAATTCTCTTAGGTTTTGGGCACTATGGAGTTGTAAAAATACAGCATCACGAGTCCACTGTGCTCCAAGAAAATTAAATGCAAAAAACTTTAGTGCAGTAGGAAGGTTTTTCAGGTTTAAAAAAAAAAATAATCAGGAAATGAAAAGTTACAGTTCTCACAGCAACATTATCTCGCCCACACTGCTGTACCAATTCAAGTTTTCAAGGGCAAATGCACTTTTGCACATGCCCAACACCTGATTAGATTATGCATGTCAGGATCACAAGCATGGATTGGTACATGGCACACAAATGATCGCCTCTTGTACACTTTTAAAAGTTGGTCCACAGTATGCAGAATTTGTTACTACTAGACTCAGTACTGAATGATTATACAAAAAATAGCCCTCCCCATCAAAGACTCTAGATGCTCCGACAAATTATGAAAACATAAAAGGTACGTGCAGGGTAGATGAGTTAACATTGCTTAGAGAACTATAACTTGTATGTTGCTTAACTTCTGCATATTTGAATTTGCATCAACTTATTTTCTTCATGTAGTTATATATTCCACAACCTCACATCACCACTGGAGGACAAAGTGAGATCTGTATGCTTTTTCTTTAATACATGTTCCAATTTTTAAAATGTTGTCTTTTGTCAAATGAATTCAGTGTCTGTAACAGATGCAAGATTGACAGCACTGAAAGAAGTAGTCCTAAGCATCTCTCACATTGTCCTGCCAATGTACTTCAACTCTGACCTGACACTGTTAATTCAGATTCTGTGCCTGTTCAGCGCCTGGGCATCGATGCCAAGACTGCCAACAAAGTCATTCATAGTTGCAATTTTTGTGATGTGTTCTGTTGTTCACGAGAAATTGCATTAATGACTTATTTCACAATGGAGGTGTATATTACTAACCCAGAGCAGACCTGAGCCAGGAAGTCAAGAGCTGAAATCCTTTATCCCCAATTACTAACAACACGAGGCATCTGCTCTCCTCTCACTACCCAATTACTACTTCTGTTTCATATTTTGTCTACAGCATATTAAAACTTACTACTTCAATTTTCATGGAACCCAAATAAAAGCACCTAGGGGAATACCACTGGAGCAGATTTCAAAACAGGCTCATGTGTCTGTCTGCTCCTAGCGCCACCTCTTGGTTGTTCTCAAGGACATGACTCATCTCTTAAGTAAAAAGAGATCTTCCCGAAAGCATTTCATTCAACTTTTTGGCAGTTAATGTTTTTGCTTGGCCTTTTTTTAAACACTATTCAGTAGAATTTTTAAGCCATGGCTGTTAGGGTGACCAGCTGTCCCAATTTTATAGGGACAGTCCCGATATTTGGGGCTTTTTCTTATATAGGCTCCTATTACCGCCCACCTCCTGTGCTGATTTTTCACACTTGCTATCCGGTCACCCTAACGATGTCTTACACCTAATAATTGGAAATGGCTACAAAACCCCTCACGTATAAAACCTGACAGGACGCTCAAGAGGTGACTCATTACCCCGGAGAAAGCTACATCTGAAAAAAATTATAATGCAGTATGTTGAAAAGGTGGAGTAAAAAGAGAAGAGAATCCCAGTAAAGATACAGATGAGAAGAGATGTCACTCTGTTTCGTACATTTTGTGGGGGTGTTGGTTCTCATGCTAAAGTCTTCTTGTTACCTTGCTGGACTCTTCCAGCTGAGTGCCTCGCTTCCAGGCCTCAGAGAAGATAGAGCTGACAATACTTTGGGAACGGACATGGCCAGTTGGTTGGGTGTCAGAAACTCCACTGTCAGATTGATTAGAGTGATTTGACTGAGACTCTGTTTAAAAAATATGAAACACAGGAAAAAGTTCATTTTTATCAAAGTCAGTCAATGAGTTTGTAATGTGACACTTTCATGAGTGACACTTGCTAGGCACAGAGGTGACAGGTTAATTTCATGCCTGCTACAACACATTATCTCACCAAAGGACATTATTTCCACTGAAACACTTAGCTCATGGTCAGACACACTGGAAAATTGCTGGTCTGAAACACCCCCTCTCACACACACACATCCAAAAAAACCAAACAAACCCCGACAATCACCCCTGCAACCTTGTGAAGATAGCAGCTTATCAGTTGTATTATGTGAAGACTATCCTGTTCCCAGGCCTTGCAGAAGCTTCTGCTCATGTTGCCTAGCCCAAGGATGCCATGAAGTCACAAGAGTTGTAACTTAGTCCTGGTGACTCACCAGATAGCTTTGCAATGCCCTGTCCATGCAAACATAACCGTTCTACAAATAAATTGTTTTCAGTAGAACTATGCTTGACTACCCATTGCAGGCTCAAACCCAATTCCATACCGTTGTAAATTAGCTGTAAACAATGGAGGTAGAGGTGCAAATTGTTAACTAATTTTTGAACAGCTATTTGTCTTAAAAATGAGCTTGTCACAGGACTAGGACCAATGTTTTAAAAAGTTTGTGTGTGAACAGGTTTGTGGCGTTTCTGCCTTTGGGTAGAGACTATTTTTCATGTATTTATCCCACCAAAGCAGTTTAAAAACTATACACATCTCCACTCATCATGAAACACAAGCCCGGGATGTAATTTTTAAATTGGAGAGGACAGGTATAAGGCATTTGAAAGGATATTTCCTTTTCTCAGTTTCAGATAAATTCTCTTTTTGGCTGTGAATGAGAAAAGGACATTATATTAATATCAGTCACAACTAGTAATAGAATAGAATGAATTGCTTTTTGAGATTAAAGACAGCCTAGAAGTACTGGGACTATGTGGAAATAACTAGTCAAATTCACTAGTCTTTTCTGGAGTTTTCAAATGGTTTCCGAAGCAAACGGTATTTAACAGTATTTCCATTATGGGTCAGGCTATTATAGTTACCTGGTAAACTGGAAGAGCTGGATCCTGACTTGATACTGGAGCTTGACAAGGAAGTCCAGTCATATGCTGACTCTGTCCTCTTCAGTGCTTCCTGGTAGTTAACATACAGTTGCCTCCCATACTAAACAAAGAGAGGAACAATAAAATTAACAACTGTTTAGATTGTGCCTGTTTCAGCTGGTTGATTTATGTCCCAAGCTTCTTTTGCCCACTGTTTCTTTCAGACATGATAAGCAGCAGTCTCTCTGCAGAGGCACTTAGGCAGTATGATTATTTTTCAGTAGAGGTTGTGTTTTTCATTTCGTTTAAGAACAGTCACATTGTCTTTTTTCTTTTTTATTATCTAATTGCTTAGAGAACTAGAAACAACCTGGTTATCCTGGAGAAGAAAATGTCAAACTATCTGATAACATGGCAGTGCAATAAAATCATCTACTTAATCCATTGAGCCAAGGTGCTGGTTCTAAGGGCACGTCTACACTACTCGCCGGATCGGTGGGTAGCGATCTATCTATCTATCTATCGGGGATCGATTTATTGCATGTAGTGTGGACACGATAAATCGATCCCCGATCGCTCTCCCATTGACTGCTGAACTCCAGCAACGCGAGAGGCGGAAGCAAAATCGACGGGGGAGCCGCGGCCGTCGATCCAGCGCCACGAGGATGCGGAGTAAGTAATTTTAATTCGATCTAAGATACGTCGACTTCAGCTACGCTACTCTCGTAGCTGAAGTTGCGTATCTTAGATCGATCTCCCCCCACCCCAGTGTAGACCAGGCCTAAGTAATCATTACCTGAACTACTAAGTCTCTATTTTTGATATAGTCACCTTTCTCAGATCCATTTATGAGTTAGCCCAAAATGAGTCAGCACAGCTATAAACTAACAGTGATGTCCCATGTCTAGTGCGACTTTACTGTGAGATCAGAGAGCAGGAAGAGAGAGATTAAGGGGCAGAAAAATTTGTATAAGCACCTAAAGCAGGAATTCTGGTAAAGAAACGTTTATACTGTTGATAGACTTCAAAAAAGAAATATGTACGAAAACTATCGTGGAGCTTCAAGTTCAGAATGGCTAGATATAGGGAAGTTTATAAACAGATAACATGCATTGTCTCGATAATTGTTTCAAACAAGTAACATCTGACCCATAGCTGATTAACTTCTTGATTAGTTAATTTTATGTCAGTCTTCTCACTCTCCCCTCACTGACACATCATCTGTCTCAGTAAGATAATATATAGGTAACACTATTAAATAGCACTACATTGCAAGAATGGAAGAGGAATAAAATGATTCAGAGTAGTTACCTTAGCAATACGGATGCCATTTATCCACTGGTGTAGAGTTCTCACATCATCACAGCAGAGATATTTGATATACTGAGACTTCTTCTGAATCTGAGGGTGCTATAGAAAGAATATTTAGTCTATAAATATTTTAGTCTAAAGAACATTAAGAAGAAGAATTAAAGAGTTAAAAATGCTATTCTTGAAGAGTGGGCTTCAAAACACTGTTATTCAATCCTTGGCATTGCTACTTTCAAATCCAGTGGAAAATTAAAGCAGGAAATGCAAGAAAAACATTCATCTGTCAAGGTTCAGATCAGGACTTCCTAACTGTTGAAACTGTGAAATCATTAAAGATGGGATATATATGTAGTTGGTAGGGTGGGGTGTTGCAGAAAAAAAAATTACTTGCCACCCAAAGTGGCAACATGGGGACTGTCTGGCCAGCACCATTTCAGGTTTGCAATACCATAAAGGGGCTGTTCTTACAGAGTTTTGGTGTAGGAGCTAGTCTGTCCCCTTGGAATCTTTGGAGGTGGTCATGCACTGAGTTGAAATGGTCAGAAAATTTCCACTTTCTAGAAGCTGCAGGAGGGGAAGATGGCTCTCTCTGATGCGGTGGAAAAGAAAGGGTTAATCCATTTGATCTTTACCAACACATGCATCGTTGAAGGAGATGGGAAGAAGAAAGCTAATAACTACCTTTCTATACTGCCAAAACCAGGCTTTGAAAAAACAAACCCGCACTAACTTTTTCCACCTCTAACTGTCTTGAGAGTGGAAGAACAGGGTTTGGTCACTGGTTGGCACGATTACTTTTATTAACAGTTTAGCACAGTTACTTTTATTAATATTTTAAATACAAAAGCCTGTAAGATGAAAACTAGCTAATATTTCTGCTTCAGATAGTCAAACTACTTGCCATTCCCTCCTCTCCCTCCCCCATAGAAAAGAAACACAACTCTGCACAGTTTATTTAGAAAAATATTCTATTTCACATTCAGTCTTTGACACAGATTCAAATAAGATCAGTATATTTGTTTTTTCAAATTTTGATGATGGAAGCCACTTTGACTGGAATACTTGGTCATTTCTCGTTCAGTTTGTAAGAGTTATGCGTCTCACAGCTGCCAGTATCTCTATTAATCCCTTCAACAGATTACGGTTCAGTTATACAAAGGTTTGCTGAATGATTCAAAATATCCCCATTTTCTTTAAGGTTATCTCTTACATACGTCCAAGATCTTTTAACTCCTTTTGCTCACACTATATATTCCAATGAACACTGTTGTTTGTGTCTCATTTTGAGTATTTGTGAAATGTGAGACCGAGATATATATCTCACTTCAGGTGCAGAACATACAATTGGTCTCATTCTACTGTTGAATCATTAAGCACTCCAGCTTTTACTAATCTTACTATCAATTCCTTTAGCCTATGTGTAGTACAGCAAAAAAAAAAAAAAAAAAAAAACCTGTACAGCTCTGCTCAGAATGGAGGCATAGAAAAGTTGAATGACTTGCCCAAGGTTATGTAGCAACTTAGTAGAAGACACAAAAATAGAGCCCTGAGTGCTGATTCCAGTTCTCTGTCCCAACAGCTGATCTAAAAAAATTTCTGAACTTTGTCTCAAATTGTACCGTAGCTAAAAAGAAGTTCTCCCTAAAATCTAAACTTCAGGATCAAAGCGTTCATGTTATAACTTGGCATACAAAAGCTACAGCCCACATTTGAGGGCAGATTCTGCCACCCCTAGTACTTTTCTAAATCACTGAAACTACTTGTGCAAGGTTCAAACATGAGTAAAAGGAGCAGAATCTGGATCTTAATGATCAAGATTTGACTGCTTTGGTAAAACGTGTGCAATCTGGGGTTTTTTCTTTCAAACTGCCTGAATGTAAGTAGCACAAAATTGAATAGCTATAAATAAACCATACCCTTCAATCTGTGAAACACTGCTTCACACTGCTGGAATGTAGGTGAGAGAAGGCCCAACACTACTTAAAATCTCACGTTAACTGTCTGGTGATATATCAACACCATGTTTCACTTACACCTCAAAAAACACTATAAAAATTAGACCAGCTAACCCCATCACATGCATTTACTTAAACAACTCACTGCAATTCTCTAAAATTAATGGGAAATTTTTGATTTGTTAAAATTTGAGTTAAGATTTTTTCTGTGGCTCCATTTACACTCAGAATGGTAAGAAAACAATTTTAATAAATTTATTCCAGTAAGATTTGGCCCAGTACACTGGCTGGCCAAGAAGTTATAGAAAACAGCTCAATCAGAGCCACATCTGAATCATGTAGACAGGAAATGACTACCGCTATGATTATGTCACTGAGGTCAAAGTAGTCAGGGAATCTGTGACTTCCAGCGACCTCCGTGACATTTTCTACCCCAGGACTGGATCTCCCAGGTGGCCCCCCCACAGCTCCCAGCCTCTGCCCCGGTGGGGGGTCCCTGCAGCTCCCAGTTGCAGTGGGGGACCCCCGCCCCACAGCTGCCCCGGCGCAGCAGGGAGACCCTGAAGTTCCCAGCCGCAGCAGGCAGCGGGGTGACCCCCCGGAGCTCCCGGTGGGGGGGTGGGGGGTGGGTGAGGGGATCTCGCAGTAACCCAGCTCCTGCAGGCGCTCACACTCGCTGCAGGTGGAGGGAACCCCCTGAAGCTCCCTGCCAGCATGGGCAGTTGGGGCCCCCCCTAGAGCTGCTTGGCCACTGTGCAGGGGGAGATCCCACAAATTGTAGCAGCGGGGTACCCCGGAGCCCCAGCAGCTTTGGGTGTTGTACCTGCCTCCCTATCCATTTTGACAGGGATATTTTTAGTGGAAGTTAGGGACAGGTCACGGGCATCCATGAATTTTTGTTTATTGCCTGTGACCTGTCCATGGCTTTACCAAGAATATCTGTGACAAAATCTTAACCTTAGAAATGACACACAGGAAACGTAGGCATGATCTGTACTTGCCTTGATACTCTGCATTCTGGAAATCAATTTACATCAAATAATCTATAAATATCCACAAGTACTTAAATCTCTGCTTTTAATTGCTCTCAATTATCTGCAGAGGAATCATGTGCCAATAACTTAAGAGGACATGAAAAAGAATTTTCAGGTTAGATTTTAACTAATGTTTCTTAACCCAAATATGAAGTACGTATTTTTACCTCTAACTGTGCACAAATATATGATAAAGTGTCTCATGGAAAGATATCATCTTTCCATAAAGTTTGTGGACATGCATTAGAATAACTGACATGTCTGCTGTTTGGTCATCGCATATGCAATGAAATGTGAGATGTGACCGATGACAGAAAACAAGTAACCGTACTCCTGTTAAAGGGGAACAATACCCATTATCCCAGGAGCGGTGCCAGAGTTTTTGCCGCCCTAGGCGGCAGCGCTCCTCTGAGCATTCGGCTGCAGGGGTCCTTCCGCTCCGCGTCTTCGGGGCACTTCGGCGGCGGGTCCCGGAGCGAGTGAAGGACCTGCTGCCGAATTTCTGCCAAAGACCCAGAGTGGAAGGACCCCCCGCCACCGAATTTCCGCCAAGGATGGCAAAATGCTGCCCCCCAAATCCTGCCACCCTAGGCGACCGCCTAGGGTCGCCTAGTGGAAGCGCCGGCCCTGCATTATCCTCATCCAAGCACCATTTTTAAGTTCATGAAGAAACATTTCTTACCATGAACACACAGTGAAAAACTGTTTCAAAATAATTTTGAGTCTACCACTGCCAACACCATTTCTAACATAAAAATATGGGAGTCGAATGGAATAGATCCGAAGAAAGCCTGGCACACCTTAAAGACACCTGACAGCATTTCAGCTATTAACTCTGTGGTTTAAGATCAGAGCTTTAACTAAAATGTTGCAATTGGGCAACTGCTTTAACCACATTTGTTTCCTTTACTACGTGCCCCCATTTGCATTCCCCTATATGAATTTTTCAAATCAGATCCTTCTCTGGCATGCAGTGTTCCTAAAGAACACATGAATAACTCATCTTTGAGTTTTTTGTAAAAAGGACGTTAGTCTGGTGTATACATTGCAAACTTTACCCTTTAGGTTTAAGGTAGTTTAATCTATGCAAAAGCTTATGATTCTATTGAAGGTTTCTAAGGACGTTTCCCTCCTACACAAAAATGAGCAAAATCAATGTCACTGCAGCTTCTGAAACAGCCACAGCCTAAGCACATTCTCTCCTAGCCCATAGGCTCAGGGTAGGTGTAAATATGGCCATCACCATGGGTATGAAATGAGCCCCAACAAGAAAAGGGATAGGTATTCTTGGGACAAAATGCTCCAGTCCATGTCCCCTCCTGCCTATCAGCATCCTGGAAAGCTTCTCCCTTTCCCCAAACACATGGCAGCATGATACCTCACTGGCCACCTGACTCCTGGCAGCATTGTAACCGTGTAACCACTCTGTGCAGGACAGAGGAGAACACATTGTGGGACCTTTTGTTTCAAGCATTTTTTTTTTTTTTTTTGCAATTGTCAGTGGGAACATATTTAATATAATACTTTCTAAGCTCCTTCTCGGCCCTTTTGTATGTGTGTAGATCATTTATAGAGAGGAATCAGCCAGCTATGTGGGGGTGTGGAACAGCAAAGACCTCTGCAGCCAGTTCTCCCTTCTGCATTGCTCCACTGTTGCACTTTATCCCACTCTGTTCCATGTACTAGGACAGGGGTCGGCAACCTTTCAGAAGTGGTGTGCCGAGTCTTCATTTATTCACTCTAATTTAAGGTTTCACGTGCCAGTAATACATTTTAACATTTTTAGAAGGTCTTTTTCTATAAGTCTATAATATATAACTAAACTATTGTTATATGTAAAGTAAATAGGGTTTTTAAAATGTGTAAGAAGCTTCATTTAACATTAAATTAAAATGCAGAGCCCCCTGGACCGGTGGCCAGGACCTGGGCAGTGTGAGTGCCACTGAAAATCAGCTCGCGTGCCGCCTTTGGCACGCGTGCCATAGGTTGCCTACCCCTGTACTAGGAGGTAGCATAACACACAAGAGAAATGTATTTTTCAACGTATTTAATGAGAATATCACTTGCTCTAGGATTTCTAGAAATGTGGTATCTTTAAACAGACTGAATTTTTTCATAATTAAAGTTGTATTCCCGACTGAAAACTCTTGGTTAATTTTCCATTAGTTACAGCATAGTGGAAAGCACGCTCTGCATTACAGCCTGTCTCAGCATCCATTAACTTTCTGTATTAATTCCTCTTACCTCGTCACAACTAGAACCTAGTTAGAAGAATCTAGCTGTTGGAGGATTCTAGACAAAAGTAGCATGTATTTAAAATTCCTAGAGCACCTTTATACTTGCTCTGTTTGGTAAAACACTTAAAAACATATAACAAGTTACCTTCAGCACTAAACAGTAATCTGTAGGTGCTTTGTACTTGTTCCGATAGTCCTGTCCGTAGTAAACATTGACATGATCTAGCTGAAGAAAGCACACCAGATCTCGCGAGACCTATTAAACACACAAATATTCAGTTATGAAAAAAATTAATAAGGAAAATCAGAGCCACAATGAAAAACCTTGATTTAAACACTGCCAGCTCTTCACTCCTAGGCCTGATCTACACACAAAGTTGCACCAATTTAACTAGCAGTGCAACGTTTCTCCAAGTTTGTTAAACTGGGGGCAACTATGTGTGAGGACACTCTTACATTGGTTCAAGTTGGCAAGCTAAGCCAACGCAAGCATGTGCCCAAATGTAAAGTTGCACTGGTTTAACTAAAATGAGCCAGTTGAATTGTGGGTGTAGACAACCCCTTAGACTGGAACGACAAAGAGCGAAGCACATTAGTCCGAGTGGATGCACCAGTTCCAAGAAGCTACATTAACAAACAGTTAGAACAGAACTAAAACAAGAAATCGGTGCTACTGAAATTCAGTAACAGCTAATTTTCCAAGGACAAAATCCCTGTATCTGAATTTTAACCAATAAGAAGTCTAAAAAGTGAAGAATTACGTATCACAGATGGAGGAAAATACTACAGATATCCGAAACAACTTGCCAGCATGTTCCAAAATGTTTAAGATGTTTCTTATTCCATTCACATGAAAAAACAGTATTGTTAATTAAAATGGTGAATGAATCATTAAGACTAACAAACAATATGCAAAGTGGAATAGGGCTATACAGAAAATCCTTGCATAAGATTTTATTTTTTTAACTAGGATATGCTTTTTCAAATCTGTGTATTTTTTGTGCATTATTAGTTCAAAACTTATTTGTTTGTTTCTTTTGACAGTATTATATTCCAAGCCACCACTGAAACTTAAAATGAGCAGAGGGTCAACAGGAAAGGTCACATGGTGAACTCTTCAGCAGCTGCCGGTAATATAAGCATTCATTCAGAACCACACTGTTTTAAGATTTCATATTCAAGTATTTCTGATTGTAAGGTACACCCTTTTTACATGGTGTCTTATATGTAGCTTGTCTAATGAAATGGAAAGCCTCAAAGAGGAAGACTAATATTTGAAATTTACTTAGTTCTATGGGGAGCCAATGTACTGATCAGAACAGAACACTGGGTTGGCGTTTATTTGCTTTTGGTGACCAGCTGTTAGGAGGTGAGCTGCTGTGTTTTGGACCAGCCATTTCCACGTACAGTGAGTTGCAGTAAACCAGCCTGGAAGTCACGAAGGCAACAATCAGTGCAGCAATTTTCTATTTTTCCTCCAGTATAGTATGACGTCAACATAGAAAACAAAGTTGTAGAAATCATGCAGAAAAGGTATGATCTACATTGATTCCAGAAACTATGGTTGAAAATAGACTAAAAAGAAACCCTTGAATATGAACTACTCAAAACAGTGCCATTTGGTAGTCTGAATGACTCAAACTTTTCCCTGGCACATATTAGTCAGGGACACACTAATACTTGTAGTGTCACTTAGTCCTTCACCTGTGAAAAAGGTCTATGGGATTAGGCAGGAGAAAAGAAATCAAACTGCCCTGAACTGTACATACACACACTCTTTTTAGGAGAACTATTCTACTCTGAACAAACATATGCTGAGCTCTTCCAATTGGAAGATCCTTGTGATCTCAATTTTGAATTGGGGGTCAGATTGTTTTACATCAAATCCTTCTTGAATAAATTATTGTTCATTTATATTTTAAAGCTATGTTTTTAATTGATGGATTGTAATGATAATCTAAGCAAGAGCATAATGCAGCCAAAATTCTGAAGTAATATTCAAGGCTCCTTCTACCCATACACATTTAAATTATCAAGAGGATGTTCATTTTGCTTGAGTTTTTCGTTTGTTACCAGACGGCAGGTTGAAATTAGACAATCACTCTTAAGAGCTATATTTTATAGAAGTAAACTAAAGAAGACACCTTTGCTTTTCCTTTAGGAACATAGTAGATTCCAGAAGCTCGCAAAAGAAAATAACGCTTCTTCCAAGACTTCTTGCCATCATCTTTCAGCCACAGGACTCCCTCTATTTCTGGCACTGTTACAGAACTTCCACAAAAACATTCCTAGAGAGAGCCAGTGGCAGTATAGAAAAAAAGAGAACATATAAAAACATATTAATATTTTAAAATGATGAACTGGACTGGGTTTAGAAGCCTGGGAGTTGAAGTCCTTTATTCATCTAGAGAATATACACCTCTACCCCGATATAACGCTGTCCTCGGGAGCCAAAAAATCTTACTGCGTTATATCGAACTTGCTTTGATCCGCTGGAATGCGCAGCCTCGCCCCCCCCGGAGTGCAGCTTTACTGTGTTATATCTGAATTCGTGTTATATCGGGTCGCGTTATATAAGGGTAGAGGTGTATATAGCATAATTAGTGACTGCTCCACTCAGTTCTAACATGAAGGGTAATTATGAGTATGTGCCCATTTGAACTTTGTGTCTGATTTAATAGTTCTCCCCTCTGTACAGAATGCCAATAAAGGTGCTACTTATTGACAGGTGTGAAGGTTTCTTAACCAATGCTTATCAGTAATAGTCCCAAAAGTGCTCCAATGGCTTTAACCAAACCTGAAAGACATGGGCCCACACCTCAGCTGTTGGGTTACAATTTCCCAGGCATACACAAAAACCTCACTAATAGTCAGTGGGCCCAACTATGATCCATCTTGTGTGTATTTTGCTATTACCTCTATCAGCGGAAATGTAGGTCACACTTTATATTAAGGTTCCATTTATTAAATAGATAATAAAAGCATTACAGATGTTATAATCATAATCCAGAATTGACTGGTATATGCTACAGAAAATTACAAGCATGGGGTGGGAGGACTCAGTGTTCATGTCATGCTCACCGTCAGTACCTGGCCTGGGGAAGCCAATGATCTAACCAGCAGACCAAATTTGGTAATTAATCCTGGTCATGTGCCACATGAAGCACGTTGCGCATATGCTAAGATGACAACAAGCATAGCACAAGGTGGGGTTATAGATGGTCAAATGCCATGGCTATAAGCAATCTTTTGACCTACTGGACTCTAACAATCTATAAAAACCGTTTAATCATTTATTAAGTTATTAATAATTTATCATTTATACACCATTTATAAATATAAATTTAAGTCTAATTTTAAACATTCATTTACATATTATGAATTCTTTTTGTTTTAGTTGTCTTACCTCCAGCAGCACTTCTTTATTTCTGTCTGCCATCTCAGAGGTTTCTTTTTTCCCCAGCAGATAGTTCTATAACAAAAGAAAATGAAAGGATGAAACTTCTATTGAAGTTTTGAAGTCAAACCAAGTTATCTTTTTCACTTCCTCGTGCTGATAAGAGTTTAGCTGTTCTAAGACCTGTCTGGTCCTCTAGTACAGCTAGATAATATTTAAAAAAATGATTTTGGAGCAAAATTGAGACTCATGTGGTAGGTTGCTAAAGAATAAAAGAAACCAAAATATTGCATTCTGTAATCTTAAAGGGCTGGAAAAACCCTTTTGTATTTTCAGGAATATTAGCCGGTCCATGTGACATTACCTTAAGTAAAAGCATCATAAGCTGCAGTTCTCAGCCATCATGGTTAGCCATAAAGCCAATCACTGATTGGTGTAATATAAACAGATAAAATTAAAAACCCAGAATAAAAATTAGATGAAAAAAATTTGGGCCTTTAGTAGACTACTCCATCCCATCATTCAGTATTTTGGAAGGAGTGGACATGGGACTGTTCTACGCTTTTCCACTCCATCTCTATAGTTTTTCATAATAAATAATAATAATAATTAACACTTTCTATGAAAGAAAATCATGATAAACAATAACTTCTGAAAAAAGAAGCAAAATAACAATTGTTTATCCATACGGTGTGTGTATTATCAGTATGATATAATCCTTTTATCCAGTAAAGTGATTCTGCACTCTTCCCCACCTAAGCTGGAAGGGGTTGGTACACTGACCGTGAGCATCTTCCAGACCCCTTTATATTCACCTGCTCTCTCTGGAAGCAAAACAATATTCATGGTATTAGGTCAGACCAAGGTTTTTAACTGAGTAAGTAACACGTTCATGCTGACTTCCATCTACAGAAGGCCCATTCTTATTACTAATAACCAGTGACATGTATTGATGTCACACATGTATTGAGGAATACGCTTTCAAAAGTGACTAAGATTTTGGGTGCCTCAGCCGGAGATCACAGAAAGAGGCCTGACGTTCAGTTCTCGCTGAAAATATATGCTCCTTATAAGGTATCTCAAGTTGGGGCACCCGATATCACTACTCGCTTTTGGAAAGTGAAGCCCAAGAGCCTAGTGTATTAGGTACCTCACAGACTTAAGAACATGATCCATACATAGGGTTACCAGATAGCAACTGTGAAAAAATGGACAGGGGGTGCGAGGTAATAGGCGCCTATACAAGAAAAAGTCCCAAAAAACAGGCCTGTCCCTTTAAAAACGGGACATCTGGTCACCCTATCCATACACCCAATATACAGACTAGAGGTTAAGCAAGCAAGTGATCAAGGTGATGTTAAACATGCCTTTGTTAATTCTTTATTTTTCAAATGGTCCTTTGTTTTGATTCCTGATTTTATTTTCACCTCTCTGTCCCCTCAGTGCTGTAGGCCTCTAGCATTACATCATATTTTTTGCATTTATGCTTATAATCAAGAAACCCTAATTAACATCCCTCCATAGTTAATTATTGAAAAAGAACAGTGACCTTTTTGTTGTTTGATCAGGAAACAGCTGAATGAAGACGGACCCTGGCTTCCTCAGGCATTCGCTCTCCTTATCTCTCTGCCCCTCCCTTGTAGGCAGCTGTCTATCCCACAGAATCCATCCAATTCCCCTCACCCTATCCTCGGGAGATGGTGTGGGGGGGGCATTGCCAGTCTCCCCAAAGTGACACGTGTCACAACTCAAGCTCAAACCCTTTCCTCCGGACTGTCTAGACGTGAATAGCACTAAGTATTGGTGAGTATTCCATGCAAACTGGTTACATGGGCTGCTATTAATTCCACTAAACTATTCACACACTTAGAAAATGGATTGGTTAGATCATCAAGGTTTTCATTTAGGGGGCTAATCTTGCGCTGACCACAGAGTGTATTCTGGAGGTACTGTTAAAATGCAAAGCTACTGTGTGTGTGTTTGTACAGATACAAATATCAATATAAAAATGTTGACAAAGGTGCTACCAAGAGACATTTATAAGCTTAAAATTAAGTGAAAAAAATCAGCTTCAGACTTACCTGGGGATTTTTGAAAAGTGCATATTTTTCTATACGTTCCACAAATATAAGTTTGTTTTGACTGTCTCTGGTCCAGTTTAGAAGATTTTCAACTAAATTTTCATGGTCCTCGAAGATTCTTTCTGCATAAATGAGAAAGAGCAAACAAGTAAAAAAAAAAAATTTTACTCTCTCACATTTTGTAACATGACCTCAAAGCAGGATCCAGTAGGTGGATAAGATGTGAGGAAAAACACAGATATATAGTTAACAGTTTGTTAAAATGGAAGAAAAGGCCGGGAACAAGCCAATGGGAGCTGAGAGGACGGTGCTGGGGGCAGGGGCAGCACACGGAACTGCCTCCCCCCCGCCAGGGATGCGCAGAGATGTGCCAGCAGTCGGCTGCTTCCGGAAGCGGCATGGGGCTAAGGCATGCAGGCAGCCTGCCTGAGCCCTGCTGCGCCACTGGACTTTTAGCGGCCCGTAGATCGCGATCGCTTGGCAGAGGCTCCAGGATTGACCAGTCTATCGTGATTGACAGGCTGGTGATCACTGTTTTAGAGTGTAAAGAAGCAAATAAAGTAAATTCAGTTTTTTTGTTTTGTTTTGTTTTTAAACAGTTGCCCGCTAGGGGGCAGTCAAAGAGCCGCAAGTTGCCGACCCCTGGGTTAAATGTTTGTATACTTACAATATAAACACAGTACTGTGAAGACCTGAATATTGTATTTTCAGCTATTTATCATCTCATTTGAAATTTATAGTTCTTACATACTCAGGTGACTTTTTTTAAACAAGAATTATGTAAAAATAAAAATGAAAGAACACACTTGATGTTCTAACTGAAAGATGGTTATATAAGTGTGCATAGCTAATTTAGGATCACAGGAAAATTTAGCAAGCCCTACCTCATTTGATTAAAGTGAAATAAGATAAGGAAGCTCAGGGACTTTGGAGGAGAACAGTTGCTCTTCTGCAGAGTCTAGTAGCTGAAAGAGCTTATTAAACTTCATTGCACATTCAGTTCATGAACAATTAATAAGGCAAAAGCAATGTATACCAGTTAGTTCACCCTGCTGTTACTACAGGCTCTGTGAAAAAGGCCCTGCAGAGCCCTTGTCTCCTTCACTACACAATTAAGTATGAACTCTCTGACAAGAGCCTTCCCTCCTTTACAAAAAGATTTCTAGGTAAATCAGTAGGAACTCTGAGCCATTGACAACTTTGTGCACAATGGCATGCAGGTTTCTTTTTTAGAATTCTGGTGGTGAACTGCTAAATTGTCTAAGCAAACAGGTTTGCGTGTCTATTGTTTTTTTCTTCTTCTAACACCCCCATAAGAAATTATATTGAACAATCTAGAATATGAAACTGTCGAGATTGCAAAATTACCCAGTCAAGGCTCAAAAAAGGCCAAAGTTAAAATTGCAAAGTTAAAGTGCAGCTATGGAGGCTAGCACAAGGGATAATGTTTTATGAACATATGGACAGAGCTCCACATTGCTGCTTTACAGATGTCAACAAGTGGCACTTCATGAAGTGAGGCTACCGAAACTGCCTGGGCTCTGGTAGAGTGGGCCCTCCTACCATGTGGAGGAAGGTATCAGCTAACTGTAACAGAGCAGGATAGAGCCAGAAATCCACTTAGAAAGTCTCTGAGAAGAGATCAGTTGTCCCTTGATTTGTTCTGCTAATAAAACAGAGTCCAGGAAATTTTGTAATTGATTTTCTTCTCTGTAGGTAGAAGCCAAGGCACAGCATACATCCAGGGAATGGAATCTCCTGTCCAGATGTTGGTGGCATGTGGCTTCAGGGGGGAAAAAAACAGGTAAATGTATTGTCTGATTTAGATGAAAGCCTGAGATTACACTGGGGATGAATTTTGGGTGTAGTCTCAGGGAAACCTTATCCTTATGGAATATTGTCTATGGTGGATGAGCCATAAGGGCCCCTAGTTCTTCTGCTGTTCTAGCCAAAGCGATAGCCACTAGAAAGTTGACCTTCATAGATAAATGGCACAGCAAGCATGTTGTTAGTGGTTCAAATGGTGACTCTGTTAATGTCGAGAAGACCAAGTTAAGGACCCACATTGGAGCAGATTTAGTTATTGTGGGGAAGGCTCTGACTAGACCCTTTACAGAAAAAAACCATCACTAGATGGGTGAAAATAGGGTGACCAGATGTCCCGATTTTATAGGGACAGTCCCGATATTTGGGGCTTTGACTTATATGGGCATCTATTTACCCTCCATCCCCTGTCCAGATTTTTCACATTTGCTGTCTGGTCACCCTAGGTGAAAATGGAGTGGCAGTCATTGGAGGGTACTAACTGCTGCCAAGTGTACTTTGTTGAGAGCTAAGTGAAAGACCTGAGGTTTTCAAGGTGAGCAGATAGTCCCAAAAAATTGTGGGAATGTTAATTCTTCTGGGAACATTTGGTGATGCTGAGCCCAAACAGAAAATCTCTTCCACTTAGCGAAGTAACACTTTCTGATGGATTCCCTTCTGCTATTGTTAAGGATGGCTTCCTCGAATACTGAAAATGTCTGCTCTAGATTCAATAGCCATCCAAATACAAAGCTGTGGGGTGGAGGGAGTCCAGACTGGGAGGGCTGATCTTGCCCTTGTCTTGTGTCAAAAGGTCTGTGAAAGACTAAATACTGATGGGTGGGTGGGCTGACTGCTAGAAAAGACTATGGAACCAAAACTGTCTGGGCCACCTACGAACAATGAGGATGATCACTGCCCCATTCTGCTGAATCTTCTTGTGAAATCAAGATAAAAGTGGAATTGGGGGGGAGGGGAATATGTACCTTAAGTGTCCTGCCCACAGTATTAGAGGGGCATCTCCCCTGGAGTCCTAACTGTGCAGCCCTTGGGAGCAGTATATAGTGTGTTCCAAGAAAACAGGAAATGCAAACAGGCCCCAAGATAGGGATCCCTGTTGTCTGAATATGCTCTTCACCATGGAATCTTATAGCTCCCAATCACAGTTGATCGAGAATGGTCTGCTGAAGCTGTATGCTAGTTTATTATGTACCCCTGGGAGGTGTACTGCTGTTAGAATAATATGGTGGTGAATACACAAGTTTTACAGTTTCGCCTCCAAGCAAAGGGAATAAGAATTTGCTCCCCCTTGCTTGCTGACATAGAACACTTATGTTGTCTGACATTACCTAAATATGCAGGAATTGTATGATCAGAAAGAATTCTTTGCATGCTACTCGGAGAGCTCTCAGGTTCAGGAGGTTTATGTGCTTGTGTGTTCCTGGATTCACAAGGAGTCCATGTTTCTTGTGTTGTGTGGTTGTCCAGATGGGTCTCTCATCCTAACAGGGAGGCACCTATCTTCTCAGGTGGGCACAGAGTGAAGGGAACTCTCTCTCCCCCCACGTTCCTGCTCAGACACCAAGCTAGAGAGTCCCACACTCTGAAGCGGGGGGTGGGAGAGAGGAAGGGAGGGAGGCAGGGAGCAGGATTAACTTGTCCATATTGTGTCTGCTTGGCACATATACTGTCTGAAGCCAGGCTTGTAGACAGCAAAGCTGAAGTCTCACAAAAGGTGTCATGTAGGTACAGGATCCCATTTGACCAAGGAGGATAAGGTTTGAACAAACCAACATCTGCAGGCTCTTTCTGAGATGATTGATTAAATTGTTCATGGACTGGAATCTATACGGAGGGAGATAAGCTCTGGCTCAGAATCCAGAGTCACTCCGATAAATTCTATGGTCTGTGAGGGAACTAAAATCGACTTTTCTGCATTCACATAGATTCCCAGTGATGCTAGAGATGATGAGGTACCACCTAACGAGATCTCCCTGTCAACAGTCATCTAGGTAAGGAAAGACTGTCGAGCCGTGGCAATAGAAGCTTGCTGCCACAAATGAAAGTACCTTCGTAAATGTTGCTATTCTTAAGGGGAGCACCCTGTCTTGATAACGGTTTGGACCTATAGTAAACCGCAGAAATCTCCTGTGAGAGGGGTGGACATCTATATGAAAATAGTTACCCTTCATGTCAAGAACTGTGAACCTGTCATCTCTGGGAATGGGATTATCGATGCCAAGGTGACTATCCTGAATCTAAATCTGTAGATAAAGACATTGATTTGCTGGAGGTCTCTATCCTCCCTTTTCTTTGGGATGAGGAAATATTTGGAATAAAATCCCTCCTAAGATTTCCTCGTGAATGAGTATCCTCTCGTGAGAGTGGTCCCTAAAAAGGGATGGGTAAGGTGGTTTTGGAGGGGAAGAGGAACTCTACAATATAGCCTGAACAGATGGTGTTGATGGTATTTGTCTGTTACCCACCAGGTACGGGAAAACTGGGCTAGGCCGCCATCAAAACTGCATGTTGGGGGCCGAAAGAGATGGCATCTCAGTTGGTTTACAACCCTCGGAGGTCCCATCAAAAGTACTCTTGACAGCAGTTGTGGTTGCAAGGAGGAGGAAAGAGAAGCATTGTGTTAATCTTCTTCCGCTTCTGCTGTGGTTCATATACCTTTGATGGTAGAAGGGCTGTGGTACTGGTCTAAACCGCTTATGATACTTCATCTTCAGTGCTGGTGTATATATACCGAGGGAGCAGAGGGTTGCCCTTGAGCCTTTCAATGAACATGACGACTCAGGGTATGTCTACGCTACGAAATTAGGTCGATTTTATAGAAGTCGATTTTTTAGAATTTGATTTTATACAGTCTATTGCATATGTCCACACTAAGCGCATTAAGTCGGCGGAGTGCGTCCTCACTACCACATGACTTACTCACTATAGCATCGACTTACAGAGCGGTGCACTGTGGGTAGCTATCCCACAGTTCCCGCAGTCTCCGCTGCCCATTGGAATTCTGGGTTAAGCTCCCAATGCCTGATGGGGCAAAAACTTTGTTGCGGGTGGTTTTGGGTACATGTCGTCAGGCCCCCCTCCCTCCCTCCTTCCGTGAAAGCAACGGCAGACAATTGTTTCACGCCTTTTTCCTGGGGTCCTGTCCACCGGACTGCTCAGCCCGCTGCCTGCCTGGATGATCGGAACCCCAGGCAGGCAGTGGGCTGAGCGGGGCCAGCAGACGGAGCCCCAGACCAGCAGTGCAAGCTGGAGGCTTCTGCCTCAGGCTGCTCTCCCAGCCGGCAGCACCGCGCGGTCGCACCTACCCCAGCTTGCCCCTTGCTCATGAAGCCTGGACAGTAGTAAGGAGCAGTTCAACTTGTGGAATGACAAATCCAGAACGAAGGATTGCACTCTATGGGCCATGTTAAGATTATTTCAGAGTCCTAGATAGCATTTAGTCCCTATAAAAGGCTTCATGAAAATTTCCCCCCGGCCCCTAACAAAAATGTTAATTTATCAGAGCAGCTGAAAGGGTAAGGAATCTGGGACTATAACTTAGAGAGCTTCCATATTATTTAACTCATAATTAATATAATTCAAAGTAAAATTTCACAGACTGAACACGGTCTGTTCTAAGACTAAAAATGCAGGAGGGGAGTCAGAAAAAGGAACAGTGACCTGTTTCTGCCTGGTTTCGAACCGGGGATGATTCGCGTGTTAGGTGAACGTGATAACCCCTACACTACGGGGCTTCTCTTTTTTTGCCACAGACTTAGCCGAATGCACAGGAATGTTTTCTCTAGCTACAGAAGCAGGGCCAGCTCCAGCATTTTTGCTGCCCCAAGTGTGTGTGTGTGGGGGGGGGGGCGGGGAGGAAAGAAAGAAAGAAAGAAAAAAAGCCGCGATCGGCGGCACTTCGGCAGCAGCTCTACCACTGCCGCTTCATTCTTCGGTGGCAATTCGGCAGCAGGTCCTTCCCTCCGAGAGGGACCGAGGAACCCGCCGCCGAATTCCCGGGTGTGCCACCCCTTTCCGTTGGCCGCCCCAAGCACCTGCTTGCTGCACTGGTGCCTGGAGCCGGCCCTGTACAGAAGCTACCTAATGCAATGTCTATCTATGGCCTTCCTGCTCACAAAGCGGTCATGCCCCCGCCCAAGGCTGACACAACGCGGAGTGCATGTGACAGCCACCTGGCTCGGGCAGGATCGCTAGCGAGGCATGATACTTTTGCCGTTAAGCAAACACAGCAATTCTTTCCTGGCCTCTGCCACTGAATGCCCCTCCATTCATTACGCTGTGCCCTATCAGTGCGGGAGGACTGCATGAGCTCGGAAAACATGTCATCGCGAGTGCGTTTTTTTCGCCTTCTAATCTGTGATAACCTCAGGGACGGAGATGATAGAGGTAGAAACATTCTGGGAGGACTGCATGGTCACCTGTGCTGCTGAGTTCGCCACGCTGGCCAAACAGGAAATGAAATTCAAAAGTTCCCGGGGCTTTTCCTGTGTACCTGGCTAGTGTATCTGAGTTCCAAGTGCTGTCCAGAGCGGTCACAATGGAGCACTCTGGGATAGCTCCTGGAGGCCAAAACCGTCGAATTGCATCCACACTACCCCAAATTTGACCCGGTGATGTCTATTTCAGCGCTAATCCCCTCGTTGGGGAGGAGTACAGAAATCGATTTTAAGAGCCCTTTAAGTCGACAAAAATGGCTGTGTCATGTGGACTGGTGCAGGGTTAAATCCATCTAACGCTGCTAAATTCGACCTAAACTCGTAGTGTAGACCAGGGCTCAGTCTTTTAGCTAAATAAGTTATTTCCGTCAAAGGGTAAGTCCTTCACATTGGATTGAACTTCGCTGAGGCAAATCAGGATTCCTAACACATCACGATAGTTGCCATTACCCTGAGGCTGCATAGCTGCATCAACTGCAGCCTGTAGGGATGTTCTAGCCACCAATCTACCCTCCTCGATAAGCACTTGAAATTGACTGCTATCCTACTGAGGGAGCTTGTCTCTGAATTCCAAAATTTTAGAGGCATTGATACAATCACACTTTGACAACAAAGCCAGGTAATTGCAGACTGGTGGATGAAAATATTTGTTATGAGTAGGTCCACACATTTGGCCTCTTTATCTGAAGGAGTGGGCTTTGTGTGGTGTTTCCTTTTCCCTTTCCTTTCAGTGGCCACTTGAACCACCAAAGAGTTTGGGGCAGGATGAGAGAACAAAAACTCTGTCCCCTTGGCTGGGACACACGACTTCTTTTCTGCCCTCTTAAGAGTAGGTGCGCATGTTGCTAAAGTATGACACGTGACTTTGGCAGGCTCTAGGATGGCCTCATTAATGAGGAGCGCCACTCAACTAGATCCCACATTCTGCAAAATAGCCAGGAATGTGTGAGATGTCTTGTGAATTTCCTCCAGAGGGGTTTTGTCACCACCTGCCATGCAACCTTGGGTGCCTCACAATGCCTTGCTCTTGTAGCTCCCCATCCGGGCTGCTGCATGCAGATCACCCCAAGTGTCCTGATAGATCTGCACCCCTGATCCAGCAACTCTGACCCCATCCACCTGTCAGCAACATACCGGCCACACTCTGGCTTCCAGCAGCCTTGGTTACTACCTTCAGGATGACCCCAACACACGCCCAGTCCCAAATTCCCCCCCCCCACAAACATGTGTTCTGCACTGTCCAACCTTCTCCTAGACAGTTCAGCTATTAGAGGCCTGTTGTCCTAGTAAGGGGTCAATGTACAACAGTTTGCTACTTTAATTGGAGTTACCAAACAATTCAGTTCAAACACAACACTGGATTAGTTTTAATTAAAAACAAAACAAGTTCATTTAACTATAAAGAGACAGATTTTAAGTGAATACAGGTACAAGGTATTAACGTCAGAAATGATTGCAGAACTCTAAACGTAACCGACAATCAAAATGATGAAAATTTATTCCAACAGAGGTTGATGAACACTAACAGTTTTATGGATCAGTAATATTTAAATTAGTATGAAGTCCATATGGACAAATGCTAAGTGAACTGATAATACTAAGATAAAAAGTAGGAATCAAAATTATTAACATGTTTACTTACCCATTTGTAATTCAGATATGGTTTCTACCAGTGACCAGTCTAAACTGTAGCCACAGTGGGATTTGTCCATCAGATTGTCCAGTACTTGTCTTACTGTCTGTCTCTCATCCACCATCATAGTTTTGGAGCTATCATCAGACATGTGAACTCTGATTACCAGCTGTGACCAGAAGGGGAAGAAAAATAACGGGGATTAATTTCCCAAACATATTTCTTATTGAACCTAGATTACAAAAATAAAGTTTAGCTCATATAGAGTTTATATTAAAATCAATTCCTTCTCCCTTAAAGATGCAAAGAGCCATATTTAATAGCTAGATGTTCATTTCAAAACCCACTTATCAAAAGGTCATGTTCCTTTTGTAAAAGGAAAAAAATCTACAATATGTAGTTTTATTTTAGTTATGCGTTTTAAAAAAAAAAAACAAACCAACATATTGCCAAAAAAAGAAACTTGTCTTCACACAAGCTTGTCTCAAGCAACTAGATGCAAGCACAAATGCCTTGTATAAATTCATATGAAATTTTACGCATTGCTCTTTTAAAAATTGATACAATGATAATTTATTTCCATTGATCTACCGGACGATTAATTTTTATTAATTACTGTTTTCATTCTTATGAAAAAATACAAGAATGCAAGGCTAACGTGTTGTTATTAATTGAAAATTATATAAAAGGAGAGTTTTGTGTATTGTTGCTATTGCTCATAAATTTGTATTTTTCTTTTTTTAGCATCTAGATTTTCCTAACTAACTTTGTCAAAACCAACAAAAAAGCATATAAACTCATAGAGTTTAAGGTCAGACAGGACCATTATGACCATCAAGTCTGACCTCTTGCACATTGCAGGCCACAGAACCTTGCCCACCCACTCCTGTAATAGACCTAACACCTCTGGATGAGTTAGTGAGGTCCTCAAATCATGATTTAAAGACTTCAAGTTACAGAGAATTCACCATTTGCTCTAGTTTAAACCTGCATGAAGTGAATCATATTACTGGTCGAAGTACATGAATATTTGAAAACTCATCTACAGAGTACAGTATGTCCATAGTATTTTAGCATCCCTATTTAGTTAAAAAACCCAACACACTTAAAATATATAGTATGAGATCCATACAAGGAATTCAGGTCTTAAGTATGATTAAAAAGTCACAATTATACATAAATACATGGAACACAACACAAGTGTCTTTCCAATTATGATGGGCAATGCAAGTGACATATAGCTTTAATTTAAAAATTTGCAAGTCATAAGACTTCTGCCACTTTCTGCCACATTTTGCATAAATATTAGTCTTTCACCGGTGGGGCAGTCAAACAAACAAACAAAAGTTCTCTATTTTAAATTGTTTTTACTTGGAACAGGGCCAGCTCCAGGCACCAGCTTGGCAAGCAGGTGCTTGGGGCGGCCTCTCCGGAGAGGGGCGGCAGGTCCAGCTATTCGGCGGCAATTCGGCAGACGGTCCCTCACTCCCGCTTGGAGCGAAGGACCTCCCGCCGAAATGGCGCTGCAGATCGCGATCGCGGCATTTTTTTTTTTTTTTTTTTGGCTGCTTGGGGCGGCCAAAACCCTGGAGCCGGCCCTGACTTGGAAGGTGTGTGGGGAAAGCAGCACTGTTTTTAAAAACTTAACTGCTAATTCTCTGCTGTTTCACTATTACTTTAAAAAGAGTGCAGTGTCCATATAAAAATTATACCTCAATCTAATCTGTTGCCTACACTAATATAGTAAAACAAAGAATGTTAGAATCTTGTTTCCACATTTTATGCTATTGATTACTTTTTTCGCACCTCACTCAGCTTGCAAAGTTAAAAGACGTTAGTTAATTTGTTCTGAATGTTCACACTCTAGCACAAAGTTGTAGCATTTTATTTGCAAATATTAAATGTGGCATGTTTAAATATTAACATTTTTCAGTGATTTAAACACTGGACATTATCCTGTTAATATTAAGAGATACAGATTTATTTATTAAACATATCTAAATATTGGCCCTAAATTACTTTACAGTGTCCCTAAATTTGGAGGCAACATCTTTACTATATTTGACATAGCATCAAGGCTAGCTCTAGGCACCAGCAAACCAAGCATGTGCTTGGGGCGGCACATTTTCAGGGGCGGCATTCCAGCCTTTTTTTTTTTTTATTTGCGCTTCGGGCGGCAAAAGCCTAGAGCCAGCCCTGGCAGCAGCGCGTCGTGTGCAGGGGGCGCCCTGGGGCCACTGTGGTTCGCACCGTGAGAGCAGCACCTGCACCTTGTGGCTGGGCCGGGCAGGCTCCGAGCGAGGGACACTCGGGCTGGGGGCTGCCCTGCGGGGCACTTAGAGCTGCCTGCAGGTGCTGCAGGGCGGCCGCCCCCCAGTGCTGCAGCCGGGGCTGGGCGAAGCGGCCTGAGCCGGACGAAGTGGCCTGAGCCGCCCAGGGACTGCAGCAGAGCGGCCAGAAGCAGCAGCGGGGCCATAGAGGGCGGGGCACTGCCGTGCGGGGCCTGCGTCCCGCTCTCCGGGGCTCCTCTCCCTCTGGGGCTACCCTGCCCCAGCTCCTCAGCCCCCTGCCGGGCGGTCCCCCGGCTCTGCCCTCCTGGGTCCTGGCCGGTCCTGGAGGCGGGAGCCCTGGCTTAAGGGACCCTGGGCTGAGGCACGTCCAGGAGCCTCGCTGCTTACCCCGACCCTGCCAGCACCGGATGAGGGGGAAATGGGCGGAGTCAGCACTGGTGGGGGAGAGCCCAGGGCTGGGGCGGCAGGGGGAGACCAGGGCTGGGGTGGTAGGGGGTGCAGGGGGGGGGGGGGGAGAAGAGAGCCCAGGGCGGGGGTGTGGGGCAGCCAAAATTTTTTTTTGCTTGGGGCGGCAAAAAATCTAGAGCCGGCCCTGCATAGCATCAAATACTGTCTGTGTTTTCCTCTTCTGCCTATTATTAATTATTATTATTATTATTATTATTATTATTAACAACTAAAGGAGGGTTTGTATCTTGCAAACTGGAAGTTGGAGAGCCTGATATTGAATGAGAGTCTATAAAGAGGACAAGACAGTTTGAAATGCGAGGCTACTGAACAGGCAAAGACGGCTGGATCTCTGTTTCAGATGTGAATGCACATTGCCAAAGTCTTTTAAATCTGTATCTGGTGTAGAATAAGATACTTAGAAAAACATGATGCCACACCATATAGTGTAAGTTCTTGATTAAGCCCTGACTGGATGAGAAAAGGAATAGAATAGTTATTTAAAATTTGAATAACCTAACTACAGATCAGAGAGCAATGTCCCTCAAAAGAGAACTGAACGTAAAAAGAAGTCTTTTTTTTTATTAAAATAGTTTAAGGGTAATTAACAGAGAAGAGCAGAATTGAACCCATATTTTCTGATTCAATCAGGATTACCTAGGCATCACGTAAAATAATATAAATATAGCTTACCTTTTTCACTTGTGCCTCTTTAATCTTTTCCAAAGCAACCCTGATCTTCTCAGCTTTCAGTTTAGCAGCCTGCTCTTCCTGTGGGGATACAGCATACCAGTTAAACAAATGTCAGTCTGATTTTAGGACTTCAAAGCTTCTAATTATGAGGTTACCATAGGGTAGAATTTGAGAAGGAATACTAGTTCCCCCACTGGCAACAACCGCTACTGTGGAAATTAAAGGAACAATCATTGATGCTGAAAAAAACTACTACTTTTAAGATGCAAAGACTTCCTGTATCTGTCTGATATACATACAGATCAGACCCTGTGGCTTTGAAGACAGAATACAATTGTTTTTCTGCACTTTGCCAGCCAATACTGCATCATTCCTTTGCATTCTACTTTTTTCTTTTGCATCCATCAATTACTGAATGCTTTAATTTGCCAAAGATTTACAATGACAGTCCCATCTCATACCATATTTGCCAACAGTACAATTAAACACATCCAACAGATTTTCAGTTTATCAAAGTTAACATCACAATGAGAGATACCATAGCTTACTGTTACAGACACTTCCATTAAATAGCATTCCACGCTATTCCAGTCTGTTAAGGAAGCTTTTAACATGTTAAACTGCTTGGAAATAGCTCAGTACTTGCACACTACACCTTTCATCCATGTTCCATACTATGTTTTTCCTCATTTAAAAACAAAAAAAGTGTTCAGATCACCAAATGTAAGAAGTTAAACCTTCTTCTTTGATACTCTTCCTTTTAAAAATCTAAGTTTGTTACAATTTAAAACACATTACAAATCCAAGGAATCTGAATCCATTCTAGCTCTTAATTGCTTTTCATAAAGAAACCGGTATACTGCAACATTACTAATACTTACTTTCAATCTCCAGCAATCAGCCTATATAATATTACTATTGCAATCGAGTTGAAGTGATCTGCTGAAACAAGAAACCACTTCTGCAGAACCTCTGCCTGCAGGTTTCAAATTTCAGAATTCTAAGATTTGGATTACTACAGCGTGAAGTGTCTAAGAAGCACATAAACCACCTTGTAGAACTCATAATTAGAAAGCCACACAATTAAAAATACTTCGGTCAGTCCCCTTCAAAAATAGATTGCTTTCAGAGCAAAAGTAGCACAATGATGGAAAGACAGCCCCAACTACAGCGATTAACTCTTTATCATTTCATTCTACAAATAAAATCACTAAGCCGCTTCTCGGTTACACTGTTTGGATGAAGTTGCCTTTTATTTAATGACAAAGATTCATCCATCTTCAAATCTGTGCAGAACTTCATTAGGAGTAACACTGTTACTGGCATTTTTCACTTCTGTGAAGCCATTGTTGTTATTCTCATCCTCTGGAGTGGCTCCTTCCTAGGCGACTTTGTCTTACTCATACTTAGCCACTTTTGTCCCCTCATTCTCAGACTGTACTTCTATACTACACAGTAGAGATGGCAACAGCTGTGGAGGGGTATAGACTTGCTTGTGAGAAACATAATCTTTTTCAATAAGAGGAGCCAATAAGCGGACAAGAGCAGTAATAATTGGGGTTTGAAACATTAGCTGAAAACTCAATTAGGCAAAGAACGCTTTTTATTAGGCTAGTGAGAGACCCATTTTAATTTATCATAATGATGGTATCACATAACTAGGAAAGGTTATACCAGAATATATTGTTTAGAAAAAAGGGAAAAAACCAAAAACCAACAGTAAGATATCTGAAAAGATTTTTTACTTTAACCAAATGACATACAATTCCAGAATTTTAGAGTATTCATCCTACCTCTTAGTCCTCGTTGTTTTCATCCACAAAACACTTGTTATCCAAAAGCAAAGAAAAGCTCTATTAAGATTTTTTTTTTTTTTAATTTGGAAGAGTAAGGTTCTACAATTAATCATTTTATGCACTGGGCTGCTCCTGAAGTCAATAAGAGCAAGATGGACCCTTTATATATTTTTAAGACCAATTTTGAGAAACTGAGCAATTTCTGGCTTTTAAAATGGTATCTATGAACTCAACCATAAACCTTTATTTCTGTACAGAGGCTGCAAACATGTTCGATTTGGCTTTTTACTTAAGGGGCCCAATTTTCCATCCCGCTGCATGTTGTACATGTGCACGTGAGTACACAACTATCAAAAAGCATTTTACACCCACTTTGCACAGGTGCATGTGAATACACAAAGAGCAAGGCTTTGGAGAATCAGGCCTCATGGCTCTAATACACCTGTGCCAGTGCACCGTAATTATCTTTTCTGATATTCTAGTCTTAAATGATTCCTTAGCAGAGAACCATGATAGATTGTGTGGTGGTTTTATGATAAACATGTTTAAGTACGTGCTGTTTCTATTACTAAATTCATTTTCATTTGAAACTCTAAGGATTGGCTCCAGAGATGAAACAGTAGCCTATAATCATAGAAATGTTGGACTGGAAAGGACCTCAATAGGTCATCTAGTCCAGTCCCCTGCACTGAGGCAGGACTAAGTATTATCTAGACCATCCTGACAGGTGTGTTTATCTAATCTGGTTTTAAAAACCTCCAATGATGGAGAGTTTACAACCTCCCTAGATAATTTGTTCCAGTACTTAACTACTCTTACAGTTAGGAAGTTTTTCCTAATGTCTAACCTAAAACTCCCTTGCTGCAATTTAAACCCATTACTTCTTGTCCTGTTCTCAGTGGTTAAGGAGAACAATTTATCACACTCCGCTTCATAATTTATGTACTTCAAGACTCTTTTCACAAACTGATCACTCCATATCTGACTTAACAGTCCTCATCTTCAAAGAAAACCTGCACAATACTTTCAAAAGAAGAGTCTGAGAGCTTGAATTCATTACTCTGCAATATAGACTGAACAGAGACACTGAATTTATGGCTTAATCTGTACCCCATTAGCCCCCCCCCCTTTTTCTCCTATGATGGGAGGAGTGTTAATGGGTCACTCTACCTTGAATGGTCCCTTACAATATGTGAAAAGCGACAGAGTCCTGTGGTACCTTATAGACTAACAGATGTATTGGAGCATAAGCTTTCGTGGGTGAATACCCACTTTGCCAGATGCATGTAGTGGAAATTTCCAGAGGCAGGTATAAATATGCAGGCAAGAATCAGTCTAGAGGTTAGTTCAATCAGGGAGGAGGAGGCCCTCTTCTAGCAGAAGAGGTGTGAACACCAAAGGAGGAGAAACTGCTTTTGTAGTTGGCTAGCCATTCACAGTCTTTGTTTAATCCTGAGCTGATGGTGTCAAATTTGCAAATGAACTGAAGCTCAGCAGTTTCTCTTTGAAGTCTGGTCCTGAAGTTTTTTTGCTGCAGGATGGCTATCTTTAAATCTGCTATTGTGTGTCCAAGGACACTGAAGTGTTCTCCTACAGGTTTTTGTATATTGCCGTTCCTAATATCTGACTTGTGTCCATTTATCCTTTTACGTAGGGACTGTCCAGTTTGGCCGATGTACATAGCAGAGGAGCATTGCTGGCACATGATGGCATATATTACATTGGTGGAGGTGCAGGTGAATGAAAACTACAATGCATTGGTGATCTTCCAGAAAACACCATCCTAGCCACCATGGATGTGGAGGCTCTCTACACAAACATCCCACACACAGATGGAATACAAGCTGTCAGGAACAGTATCCCTGATGATGCCACAGCACAACTGGTTGCTGAGCTCTGTGACTTTATCCTCACGCACAATTATTTCAAATTTGGTGACAATATATACCTCCAGACCAGTGGCACCACTATGGGCACCCACATGGCCCCACAATATGCCAACATTTTTATGACTGACCTGGAACAACGCTTCCTCAGCTCTCGTCCACTCATGCCCCTTCTCTACCTATGCTACATTGATGACATCTTCATCATCTGGATCCGTGGGAAGGAGACTCTGGAAGAATTCCACCACAATTTCAATAGCTTCCATCCCACCATCAACCTCAGCCTGGACCAATCTACACGGGAGCTTATGCTCCAATACGTCTGTTAGTCTATAAGATGCCACCGGACTCAGTCTGGATCTGTAAAAAGCGACAAACACGGCTACCCCTCTGATACGTTACAATATGTGCTAACTACTTATGCTAAACAATCTGTTCCACCTTGCATTCTGCTGTGAGGCTGGGAGTACCTTTCCCAGATCTGAAGAAGAGACAGGGCAGACCCCTGCGGGACTCCACTTGATATATTCTTACAGCTTGATTTTGAACCCATGGTAACTACTCTTCTGAGTACGCCTTTTCCAACCAGCTGTGCATCCATCTTATAAGTAGGTTTGTCTAGGCTATATTTCTCTAGTTTGTTTATGAGAAGGTCATATGAGACAGTATCAATAGCCTTACTAAAGTAGAGATATATCACATCTACTGCTATTCCCGCCCCCCCGCCCTCCAGAAGGCTTCTTACCCTGTCAAAGAAGGATATTAGGCTGGTCTGACATGAGTTGTTCTTGACAAATCCATGTTGATGATTACATACTGCAATATTTTTAACTTTTAGACTAAAACTATTAGAAATTAAATTCTAAAATTGTAATTTCCCTAAAAAAGATCTTATTTACGAGCAGCAAATGCTAAAGAAGATTAAAACTCATGTATAAGAAAAATCAAAGCAAAACTAAAAATATGATTTTTTAAAAAAATAGTTAGGACTGTTCTTTAGTTATTAAACAGAGCTTTTCTTTTAAACTAGTTGACATGTCAAGAACAGTACAGCAGATTTGGCAGGTAATGCTTCATTGATGCAGGGTGGGGAATTATGTATTGTCATGATTTTTCCCCCAAAAGTACAATTGGATTATGATTTTTTTTTTTAAGAAGTATGATTGTATTAAAGTTGGTATTTTTCAAAGTTTGCTACACTCTAATCAATCTACCTCTTTTCCCCTTCCCAGCCAAACAAACCATAAAACAACAAACCTTGACACAAGGGACAAAGAGGATTAACAAACAAGAAGCCTATGCAACCAGACACTGCACTGAGCTAACTACATTTCTCATTCCGTGTGAGATATATTTTCATGAGAAGACAGACAGGTGACAGTAATATATTTGAATACACCTGCAAGCCATTCAACCACAAACTGACAACTGTTGTACACAACTGTCTACATTTTAGAAATATGACATACTAATCAATCTAATCACATTTAGCATTAGCAACTCATTTCCCCTGCAATTGTAAACAAGCCTAAAATATGAACTTAAAATAGTTTAGAACCCGTTGGAATTGGAAACAGCAGTACAACTTACTAAGGTCCTAGACTCAGTGTGACTACTCGAGCGAACAGTTACCCATGCAAGCACGTATTTGTATGATTGAGGCCTAAAAGAAGTTTATTCCAAACAATGAATCTTATTGAAATTGCATCTAGTTACAGAAGAATATCACTAATTATCACATCACAAATACAGAATCCCAATAGTTCTCAAAAAAATCAGCTTTGCTCTACTTCTCAAAGCACTAATAGCTAGTGATATCTTATTAATACAAAATATATGGGCGTACAGTGAACAGAAATAGATAAAAACTAAGCTACACTGTGATACAGTGTTCTTGAATAATTAAATTATTTTGTTAGTTTTCTTGTTTATTTTCAAAACTGGCAACTTGCAGTGATTCTCTCAATAAGTGAATTTCAACTGCATCTGAATATTACTGTTATACAAAAAACCTATGTTAATGCAATTTGTTAAAGTAGCACAGTTAAAACTGAAAAAAACCCCAAGAAATCAAAAGTTAAAAGGTTCCTTTAATAATGCTACCCATGGCCACATTACACACATCTATTTCGTAATTCCTTGTTAAATTTGTAATTAAATATGTTCTGTGTTTTAACACAAAAGAAGTAGGCTGTGCAATGTGAGTTAATGTTACTCAAAGAACCTTAACTTTTGCATTACTTGACTTCTTACATTTTATTGTACATTAATGTTGTTTTTTGCAGTTGAATTCCTTATTTTTGGAGGGTTTTTTTTTTTTTTTTTTTATTTAAAACTTATCTTTATTTAATAAAGCTAGCAATTAAGTGGTACTATTTAAGCTATGAAGTTCACACTTCATTTAAGTGAATGCGATAGACATGATTTCATAAAACATGAAATGGGATCCAGTAAATGTTTTTAGTTTAATATTTGAAAGTTTTCTCCAGAAAGTTTCTCTTTAAAGGATGTGCAAGCAAGAAATCATAATCAAATGCACTTTGGCAATATTAATCTGTACATAAAAATTTCCCAGCCAAAAAAAGTTTACAATTTAAAATGCAGCTTGATGATAATTTTAAATGTATTGCTTTATCTAAAACTAGATAACATTTCTCAGTGGAACACTTTTCATGCACATTTTCATTTGATGCCTTGGCAAGTGTGTACACATGAACACCTTTCTAGCATACAATCCACCAGAAGCAGGAAGAACATGAGGAAAGACATGAAACTGGGAGAGCGAGGACGGGTTGGGGGAAGAGGCACACTCAAGGTTTCTGTCCATGCCACCACATTTCTTAATTCTCATGCATCCAAACCTGTAAAGTGGTTTTAAAAAGGTAAAAGAGGAGAGGGCTGGGAAAGAGCAGAAAAATGACTTTTGTTCTGGGCTGCTGTTAAAGTTCCTTTACTACATAGCAGCTGGAATAAATTTCCTCAGGAAACCAGATAGCTGCTGGCCAATTAAAAAAAGTGTTAACACAAGTATAGCTTACTAGAAAAAACAGTAGTTTTAAAGCAGGGGTGGGCAAACTTTTTGGCCTGAGGGCCACATTGCGGAATAGAAATTGTATGGCGGGCCATGAATGCTGACAAAATTGGGGTTGGGGTGCAGGAGGGCTCTAGTTGGGGGTGCGGGCTCTGAGGTGGGGCGAGGATGGAGGTTTGGGGTGCAGGAGGGTGCTCTGGGCTGGGATCGAGGGGTTTAGAGAGCGAGAGGGGGATCAGGGCTGGGGCAGGGGGTTGGGGCATGGGGAGAGGCTCAGGGGTGCAGGCTTTGAGCGGCGCTTACCTCAAGCGGCTCCTGGAATCAGCGGCATGTCCCTTCTCCAGCTCCTATGTGGAGGCGCAGCCAGGCGGCTCTGCATGCTGCCCCATCCGCAGGCACCGCCCCTGCAGCTCTCGTTGGAGTGCCGGAGGGGGCCATTGGAGCACACAGGAGCCGGAGCGGGGCCATGCCATGGCTTCCAGGAGCCATGTGGTGCGGCCCCCGACCCAGCGCCCTGGCTGGAGGGGGGCCGAGCTGTGTGGTGCAGGCCACGACCCAGCGCCCCAGCCGGAGCACTGGAGCCCCTTACCCAGCGCCCTGGCTGGAGAGCTGGAGCCGGGCCGAGCCATGTGGTGTGGCCTGTGACCCAGTGCCCCAGCTGCAGCGTCGGAGCGGCCCCCGACCCAGCGCCCTGGCTGGAGTAAGGCCACACCACACGCCTCAGCCCGACTCAGCATCCCGGCCAGAGCAGGACCAAGCCGTGTGGAGCGGCCCCCGACCCAGCGCCCCGGCTGCAGCAGAAGCTCGCGGGCCAGCTTAAAAAGGCTCACGGGCTGTAGTTTGCCCACCTCTGTTCTAAAATATAATTGGCAAATACAGCCTAAGCCTGCCTATTTAGCAAATATGCCCTTGTTGCTTTACTATATTGGCATAATCTACGTATAGTCCTTGTCTTCAGATTTGCCCAGCTTCTCCCTAGGAGCACTTAAACTTTTTTTTTTTTTTTTTTTAAATAATCAAAGAAATGGTGCACAGAAGGTGGACATTAGTGAAGTCTGTCTCCTGATATAATGGATTGCAAGTCTATCAAGACAAAACTACATAGTCTTCCTCATGCAATCTGGTCATTGCTGAATAGAATCAGAGTCCATACCCTTCATCTCCTCTGATATAACAATTCCAAACTACAGGGGTACAGTAATTATGATTCCCAACATAAACAGTGCCAGAAAGTTGACAGCAATATATTAAAATGCAAGGAGTGCCTCTTGGGGTGTTTTTCTACATTACGGAAATAATTTAGGAGTTATCCATAAGAGACTTCTAAGTATCTTTTCTTACAGTAGGGTGTTTTTTCCAGATTACACCAAGTAAGAGCACTTAAAATAGCAAATTTGATCCTTTCTTTCTATACGAAGACAAACTGTTGCTAGTAATTTTAATTCATTTGAAGGATGTTATTGTTTTCTGGCAGTATGAGAAAAAGCATCCATGTGCTTCCCACAGCTTGATTTTTATACCTGTAAAGGGGAGGAGAAAAGAAGAGCTTTCAGACTCCACAGACTTTTGACTCCACTTGACTTTTTTAGCCAAGAATGCTAGCATGAATCTTACATGCTCTCCAAAAACTTGGAATCTTTGATGGATATTTGCAGTAACTCAATAGAGTATATTTAAAATGAGACAGCCTTTAAAAACAGCCTGACAAGAGGAAAAGTCACTCTAGTAAAAGTAAAAGTTTTGGGGGGATTTTTGGGTGGGGGGGGGAGTGAAGGGTGACGGGAGGGAGGGAGGGGTGAGCATCAAGCCTATAAACCCAGAAGTGGGAACTGCATTCTATCAACAAGGAAAAAGTCACATGCAGGTGGAAAGAAGATGCATCACCTTGGTCAGCAAATGAGAAGGCTTTCCTGCAATGTTTCTCAGAAGAAGGGATGTTTCCCTGTCCAGATAGGAGTGCTTGTGCAGAAAGAAAAAGAGAAAGAAAATAAGTCAAAGGAAATCAGTGCAGTAATTTTTTATAGTGTGTTGATTATAGTAGACAAGCAGAGTTTAAGCAAACACTTAAAAACCTTCCGCACTTAACTTCCCCACACAAACTCCTCCCATTCATAAAACTCTAACGATCTCTAGACAATGAATTCCAGAAACACTTTTGACGGAAAGCAAAGGTTTAATAAGCAGTTGTGCTATTAAAAAACACCATCTTGCCCTTCACCTGTTTTTCAATGGCATAACAATTATAAAATACACGTGAAGAAAATGTTTTCTTACCTGTTACTGATTTCTTTTCTACAAGATACTGGCTAGGATTTTCAAAATTACATAAGTGACCTAGGAGCACGAGTAAATGGGACTTACATTACTAAGTCACTTATGTAATTTTGAAAATCCTATCCACATCATGCAAATCCTATACAACTGGGCTTGCTGCTTCGGCTGTGCAGAGATGAAGACAGCATAGAACTGTCAGTCATGGAACCAGGACATGCTGGTCAAGCTTTGCACCCTGGCTGCTTTTCCCAAGAAGACTTCCAAAACTGCAGAAAAAAACCTTACCATAATGAGTGTAACTGATAATCCTGAACTATGGCCAACAAATTAAACTTTTCATGTACAGATATCCTCTCTCTCAAAATACAGTCCCCACAAGGATGGGTCAGATTGCTGAATTTCTCACAAATGAGAAATTTGCAGAAAAACCAAGTTTTCTCTCTCCTACAAGAGTTTGTCTGACAATCATCCACATTTGGGAAGTGACCAAGAGTTAAAATTTCCCAGATGAGAGAGCAGATCAAAGACAAAATATGACTCCCTCCTGAATGTCTTAATGCCAGTAAGACAAAGGTAACATGAAGTCTTCTGTTCAGGTTTTAGAGCTGCTAAAGCATGGCTTTCCCTTTTGGGCAACTTTTTCTATGCTTTACCCAGGTAGCTATTCCACCAGTAAATTTGGCAGAAGCCAGATTCTGCCTGAGGTGGGAGTCTTCGTTCCATGGGTGTTAAATGGCTACCTCATTGGCCAAGAATTTAAATTATACATAAACTGCATCAGCCACAAAGGAAGATGGGAAGGATATTTTCTAGAGAACTGACTTGACGACCTTCTCTCAAGTCATTCCTGAGAGGTCACTACAATAGGGTATTATTGCTCTGGAATAACGTCTACAGAGGATAAAGGTCTGGAAATAGAGGATTCAGTGTTTCTCTTTGGGGAGATGTCTGTTTTACTAATCCCAGGGTAAGTAAGGGTAAGAAAGAAATCCTGCTTTGAGCATTTGTTTAGACTGGGAAAATGAGTGCTGTTTTAAAATATGTTAGCTAATGCATTAACATTTTCAAACACAACCAAGGATATGAAAAAATACCACGTAGGGGGCTGTGCCATCAGAGCTGCTATTCCTCCTGTTCTCCTAGCCAAGGTAATCGCGATCAGGAAGGCCGTTTTCACTAAGAGGTACGTAAGCGAACAGGTGGCCAGGGGTTCGAAGGGAGGCCTGGTCAATCCTTTCAGTACCAGGTTTAAGACCCATGTGGGAGTAGGAAGTCGAGGTTGTGGGAAGAGGTTTACTATGCCCTTGAGGAACCTTTTGGTGGTTGGGTGTGACAGCACTGAGTATCCCTCTACTGGTTGGTGGAAGGCTGTTATAGCTGCTAGATGAACTCAGAGAGCTTAGAGATAGACTATGCACTGGCCCAAAAAAGGGCTCAGATATGTGGAAGAGTCACGGATGTCAGGAAGTACACCAAAATTCGAAACCTGCACCACTTTTGCAGGTAGGTACATCGTGTCGAGGACTTTCCGCTGCATAATACCACCTCCTATGCCTCCTTCGAACAGGAGCTTTCTAAGTGTTCAAACCAAGACGACGACATTCCATGAGGCGGAGAACCCCCAAGCTGGCATGTAGGGTATTGTCCTCTGAACTGGGAGAGGAGGTGCGGAGTGGCAGGGAGAGGGATTGGTGGGCATGTCACAAGCTGTGACAGGTAAGGGTACTAGGTCTGTCTCGGCCAAGTAGGAGTGATCAGAATGATGTGTGCACCGTTTTTTTATTTTCAGCAGTACCTTCGATAGTAAGGGAAAAGGAGGAAAGATGTAAAGAAGGTCTCCGTCCCAGCGGAGGAGGAGAGCATTGTCCAGGGAGCAGTAGCGTGGACATTTCTTGTTCAGGTAAGTGGCGAACAAGTCTGTGGTCGGTGCCCCCTGAACAGATTGTGAAGTTCTACTGGGTCTAGCTCCCACTCATGATTGTGTGGGAATTTGCAATTGAGACTATCTGCTATTGAGTTTTGTGTGCCTGGAGTTAGGCTGCTGACAGTGTAACAGTGGGAGATGCACCACTTCCATAGTCTCATTGCCTCCACGGAAAGGGAGGGTGACCTGGCTCCCCCTTGTCGATTGTTTGTTAGATACTCTTGTGTGATACTTTGATCAGTAGGAAGAAGTGGGTGCCGGCATTCCTGACCGCCTTTAGCTCGAGGTGGTTGATGTGAAGGGATATCTCCATAGGTGACCATTTGTCTTTTGATGCAAGGCCATTTAGATGTGCACCCCACCCTATGAGCAATGCTCAGTGGTAAGAAGTTTGAGAGGCATGGTGTCGATATGCAGCCCAAGGGTCCCAGCATGGCCACTGGGGTGGTGGTGGCGCCCATGGGTGGCTGTACCAAGATGGTGGTGGTGGGGCTATCTGAGGGTATGCTCGAGGACCCTGTTGATACTAGGCACTGTAAGGAGCCTGGGAGGAATACTGTGATTCTGCCTCCTCAGGTTCGCTATCTGAGCCTTCACTAGAGAGCGGGAGGAGCATGACAGAGCAGCGGGGAAGACTCCCATGCTGTTCGAAGACTTGGTGCAGAAGTCCCAACACCGAGAAGAGGAGATTCCAGTATGTCTGATACATGAAGGTCCCTAGAGTGTCTGAATTCCAGCAGTGCCGACTGACTTGATGCTGCTGGCGGTACCATGGAGGATGAAGATCTTGTCCATACTGGAAGCTCTGGTGCCAAATGAGGTGTCGACGATGGTACCTATGTAAAATTGCATACCGGTAATACCTTTTTAGAGGATTGCTTACTCCTGTCCTTATCCCTCAGTGTCGTTGTGGCTCTCTCGGGTCTCACTGTGGGGGATTTTCTGCTCTTTTTCCATGATTTGTGAAAGGGCTCAGCGATTTGTTTCTTTGACCCACAGCCTTTATACGTTGAAGGCTCTAGGGAAAACTCACATCGTCCAGGTGACTTGTGGCGTGGGTCCAGAGAGGGTGGGAAAGCTGCCTGCATGAAGATAATTTTCTGTCCGAGTTCTCTATCCTTACGAGACCGGGGCCTGATTTCCTGGCAAAGATCACACTTTTGTTGAATGTGGCCTTCCCCGAGGCAGCGAATGCACTGGGAGTGCTTGTCTGCAACAAAGATCGCCTCTTTGCAAGAGAGGCACTTCTTAAAGCCTGGTGAGTGGGGCATACCCCATTGAGGGAAGGGTCCACAACAAGGGGGAAAAAAGCAGAGGTCTCTTTTTTGTAAAAAAAAAAAAAAAAAAAAAAAAAAAAAAAAAAAAAAAAA